ATTCTTTTTGGAGTCCTGAGTAAGGCAGGGTTTCTGCTTCTTTGGGAGCCCTGGGAAGGCTTTCAGGAGAAGCTTATCAAGTCCTATGGTATATGGGTAAGGGGATAAACTCCACAATCAGATGAATTCGGTCCATATCCTGACTTTCCTTCTTATCAGATGGGTAAACTTGCTTCTTAACCTCTCTGGGTAGTTCTTTCCTCATTTCTAAAATAGGGATATTAAGAGTATTTTTTCTTTTTTTTCTTTTTTGCTTTGTTGTAAGTCTCTAATGAGATAATCTATATGAAGTGACTGTTAAGTAAGACACACACAAGAAATCTGCCTGTGCTGATACATGAAATGTCTAGACTGGGAGATCGTACATCTGCTAGGACTCAGAAGTGTTCTATCAGGAGTTAGGGAAGAATGTTTGTTTACTAGGAGTCAGTGTGTGTTCCTGTGTAGTGACATTTGTAATTTTTGGCTGTCCATTATCTAAACCTCACTTCCTAATAGCACCTATTACTTTCTCTCTTGGAGACCATACTCCTGGATATAGTTGTGGTGGAGGCAGTGTGCTTTTGCTAAAGAACCCAAAGGGGCCAGATCCTCCCCTCCCTGCCCAGCTGTGGGTAGGGACCTTGCCTTTGATTTGGCCGGTTAAACCCCCTGTCCTGGAAACTGTCTCTGTCTCTCTCTCTGGACTCCTATTAAATAGATATAGAGCCTTCCAGATTAATCAGCTTTTCTCTCCCATTTTCTATCCCATTCCCTTTAGTGGCTAGTTCTTCTATTTTATCTTCCAGAGTTTCTGTTGAATTTATTGCTTTAGCTATTATAATTCTAACTCCCAAGAGTTCTTTTCTGTTTTCTGATTATCCCTTTCCCTCCCTAAAGATAGCAGTCTGTCCTTGTTTCATGGATGTATATTGTCTTAGTCTGTTTAGGCAGCTCCAACAAAAAACCAATGACTGGATGGCTTATAGCATATAGAAATTTGCTGCCCACACTTCTGAAGGCTGGAAAGCCCAAGATCAGCCTGGTTGCCTTCTGGTGACGGCACTCTTCCTGGTTCATACCAGCACCTTTCTGCTGTCTCCTCACATGGTAGTGTGAGACTGTCAAGATTAGCGCCACAACAGGCGCCCTGAGCTAGGAGTGGGCCTAAGGGTGGGGTGATTCTCCTCCTCCTCCAACAGGCCACCAGAGGCCTGCCAATCAGCACGCGCCCAGTCAGCCTCCGGAAGAGTCCCCTGGAAAGTCCCGCGCGCGCAAAAGTTTTAAAGTGTGTTTGAGCAATGAAATTGCTCCGCAAACATGTAACCAATCCGCTTGCGCTGACTACCCACTGCTTATGTTTGAAATCGAGCACCCTATAAATGTGTGTGGAAACTGGGGCTCAGGGCTCTCTGACTTTGCACCACTGCGTTGGTTGCAGCAGGGGCCCTGACTCGAGTCAGCAATAAATTTCCCTTCCTTTGCGTGTTGCGTTGTCATGGAGGTCTTCTCTTTTCCCGCTGGGGGATTTGGACAGCGGGCATAACAGGTAGAAGAGCCTCTGCTCTCTTGAGCTGTTTTTTTGTTTGTTTGTTTGTTATTTTTGAGCTGTTTTTTAAATGAGGCACTGATCTTGTTGATGAAGCCTCCACTCTCATAAACATCTTCCAAAGGCCCAGTCCCCAATACTATCATCTTTGGAGGTTAAGATTTCAACATAACGAACGTAGAGAGGACATAAATACAAATATTTGGACCATAGCACATACCTTCTCATATTTCAAGGACGGTATTATTTATAGTTTTGTTTTGTTTTTTCCAAAGTGTTGCTCTGATCCCTTTATGGCCTCTTTCTCATCCTGCTTGAGCTGATTTTATTCTCATTGTTTGGTCTTTCACCTTTTAGAGTGAGACACTATAAAGTTAATTAAAATCTCCCTGGGCATTCCAGCCCTATCACTCCATAATTAACAATAATCCTAATATTCTTCCTCTGTTGCATGTTTTTTCTCTGCATTTATTATAATGCTTTCCGTTGTTTAATATATTCCATTTTGTAATGACTATACTTATAGTTATCCCATTGTTTTACTGGGCATTAAGTTTTTCCTTTTTTCTCTTTTTGCTTTTAGAGATAAGTTTGCTATATTTTGGGGGGGCTCCAAAATCACGGCAGATGGTGACTGCAGTCATGAAATTAAAAGACGCTTGCTCCTTGGAAGAAAAGTTATGACCAGCCTAGACAGCATATTGAAAAGCAGAGACATTACTTCGCCAACAAAGCTCCGTCTAGTGAAAGCTATGGTTTTTCCAGTAGTCATGTATGGATGTGAGAGTTGGACTATAAAGAAAGCTGAGTGCCAAAGAATTGATGCTTTTGAAATGTGGTATTGGAGAAGACTCTTGAGAGTCCCTTGGACTGCAAGGAGATTGAACCGGTCAATCCTAAATAAAATCAGTCCTGAATAATCATTGGAAAGACTGATGCTGAAGCTGAAACTCCAATACTTCGGCTACCTGATACAAAGTACTGACTCACTGGAAAAGACCCCAATGCTGGGAAAGATTGAAGGCAGGAGGAGAAGGAGACAACAAAGGATGAGATGGTTGGATGGCATCATTGACTCAATGGGCATGAGTTTGAGTAGTCTCTGGGAGTTGGTGATGGACAGGGAAGCCTGGTGTGCTGCAGTCCATGGGGTCGCAAAGAGTTGGACACGACCGAGTGACTGAACTGACTACATTCGGCTTTTATTTTCACATGAAGCATTGTCTTGAAATAGGCTCTGGGCGTCGAATTGTCAGGTCGTAAGTTTGTGGGCACTTTCATCTCCTTTCCGCGTGTTGCCAACTTTCTTTCTGGAGGTAGTGAACACAGGTCTAACGTCAGCAGCAACAAATAAGTACAGCCCTCAAGCATATGATTTTCAAGTCTTTCTTTATTTTACCTTATTTTCAGAGTACATAATCGCACTCATTATTGTTTAAATTAGTCTTTCTTTGGTTACTGGGAGGTGAGGGGTGGGGGTTGAAGATTCTTTCATATGGAACTGGACAAATTTAGCTTGGAGAAACAAGAGGAAGCCCAGTGGATACAGAAAAGCTCCTCAGATGACTTTCAAATAGATGCAAATCCAAAATATTCAGTGTTGGTGTGCTGGCAGTGGTTCTTAACCCAAGTGCCTTGGGCTGGGGTGGTGGACTCCCTGACATCATGTGCAAAGTGTTGTGTCCATATGCACGTTAGCAAAGGGAGTGGGCAGGGTCCTTGGCTTTCATCACAAGGCCCTAAAAAGGCTTAGTTGCATGGTGGGAGATTTCTACCCTGGTGAACAAAAGGCAATACATACAGGAAGATTCTACGGTGAGACTACCTTGGTCTGAAATCTTGTTCTGCCAACTGCTAGCTCTGTGATTGTGGGCAAGCTATTAACTTCTCTGTGCTGTGAAGTGGAAATGATAACAATAGCACCTATTTCATAGGGTTGCTGTGGTGAGTCAATGAGTTCACACAGGTAAAGCACTTTTATATATACATAAAGATTCATTATGGCTGTACTGGGTCTTCGTTGCTGGGCATGGACTTTCTCTAGTTGCAGTGAATGGGAGCTACTCTTCATTGCAGTGGCTTCTTTTATTGGGATTGCTTCTCTTGTTGGGGAGCACAGGCCCTAAGGTGCATGGGCTTAGGTTGCCTTGTGGCACGTGGGATCTTCCTGGAGCAAGGATCAAGTCTGTGTCGCCTGCATTGGCAGCTGGATTCTTAACACTGGGCCATCAGGGAAGTCCCAGTAAAGTACTTTTAGTAGTGCCTGGTATATAGTAAATATATAATAAGTGTCTATTATTCAAAACTATTAGACTCTTCCCACAAAAGGATAGTCTACCTCATGTATCCCTATCAGGTTGAAAGCTTGTAGGTAGTGAGTTTCCGTGGTCGCTTGAGGTACTCATGAAATAGCTAGAAGACAATGGTCAGGGAGGCTCTTGGGAGGACCCCTGAATTGAGAGATACTCTAAGTTTCTGGGAATTAAAATTCCCCTCTGGGCAGGTGGCAGGGGAGAGTAGCAGGCCCCCAGCATGAGCGAGAGCTGCACTTGCTAAAATGGAAACATACTTATGAACACACCGGCTGTTTCAAGAGCATGTCCCTAGCACATGCTTTTGAAGATGCAGAAGAACAGTTTGGAAAACCCAAGTGCCGTTTCTGCCCTGTCGGGTGTGGAGAGAGGAGGGGTGAGTGATGATACAGTGGGGGGTTTGGGGGTGCGGTGTGTGTAGCAGAGGCTGCCCACTTCCAGATGCTTCTCTGATTAACAGATATTTAATGAGCATTCTCCAAGGTCTGTGCGCTGGATATGATGTGGCTGAAGGGTGGGGTTCAAGAGATGAATGAGATCCAGTACCACCATGCCCTCATTGTTCTAGCTTCCTTTTATTCACTGATCTCTGGGCTATTCATGGAGGACAGTAGAGCCCAGCTGAGTGGCTGAGCTGCATGGGTGTCTTTGGTCAGACTGATCCAGGGGAAAGCTGGGCATTTCTATATATGAATGTGTGCGCATGCTCATGAGCACTGGGGATCCATTCAAGCCTCAGATTCACTAACTCTGGATCAAATGAAATCTGAATGGGCTAGTGTGGAAGGAGGTTTATTTTTACTTCTGGTTGGTTTATCCAGAAGCAGATGCTGAATTAAGGATTTGAGTATCATTCTTTATTTGGAGGTGAAGGAACCCCAGGTAGGGGAATGGAGAGTGAGTCAGGGGTGGGAAGGTGACTACTGTTGAGGCAACTGTGGCTTCATCGTGTGGGGTTGGCAGAGAATCCACACCTCATGGCATCCCCCCAAGGTAAGGGACTGGTTGGAGCTTGTTCCTGGGGCTCTTAATTCCCCTGCCACTCCCAGGCTACCACATGGATAGAAAAAGTGGTCTTAACACCAGAGAACGCTCTGAAACAACAAGCTGCATGTGCTGGCAGTTTGACGTGGTTGAGTGAGGGATCCTAAGAGAAGTGGATGCTAAACGTACCTGCCTCAGTGTGTTTCAGTCAGAATATAAGTTCCCCTGATGTCAGCAAGGCCAAGAGTGCTTTGGGAAGCAAGATGGATCCCAGGGAGCTCCTTCTGAAGCCTGAGGTTGACCAGGACTTCTGTACAGTCGACTTGGAACAACATGGGGGTTGGGAATGCAGACCCTCTTGCACGGTGGGAAATCCAGTATTACTTTACAGTCGACCTTACGTGTCGTATGGTTCTTATCTGTGGATCCAACCAACCACAGATTGTGTAGTAGTGTGGTACATGTTGATTAAAAAAATAATACATGTGTAAGTGGACGTGCACAGTTTAAACATGTGTTTTTCAAGGGTCAGCTGTATAGAAGTGCTGGTTTTGTGACCTTCATAAAGGCAGCTGGCTAAGGTGGCACAGGGGGGCTCCAGTCCAGTCTGGGCCTTCCTCGACATGCACCGTACGGGTCAGAGGCCCTCCTAGTGCCTCAGGTTCAAACTCCAAGGACAGACGAAGGCATGGAGCCTGCTGAGGGTGGAGAAGAAAAGCCGGAGCCTTCAAAGCCCCAGGACGAGCCCGCCTTCCACTGCTGGGTCGTCACCATCAAAACAGGAGGTGGGGAGGCCTCCCAGGAGACCCCTGGGATTTTGTGATGTAAATCCTATTCACACTTTCTGTTGGAGTGCTCTAGAAGAGACCAACTGTTCAGACTTGAGGTCTGGTGTAGCTGAGGTGGTTCTCACAGCAGAAGTCTGAGCCTGTGGGTATTCACATGTAGGAACTAGTTCTGGCTCTGGTCCTAATTAGCCATAGGACCCAAATCAGCAGTGACTGGGCCTCAGTTTCTCCAACTGTAAAATGAGGAGGTTGAAAAAGATGGTCCCCAATGACCATTCAGATATAAAATCTGGTGATTTTATAGTTTTGGATATATAACTTTATAAACACTTGCCCATCCTGAATATCTTCTGAATTAAGGAGAATTAAATTCAATGAGAGTAACAGAAAAGCCTCAAACAGATTACAAAAATTCTCATTTTCAAAAGGCCCAGATGTAGAAACTTTAGGGCAAGTGTTTGACTTCACAGTGTCAATCCTATCTTGTTCTCTGCTATGACACTTTCATTCCCAAAGTTTTCTCCTCAGTTGAAGATGGCTTCTGGACCTCTGGCTGTTAAATCCACATTCCAGAGGAAGAGGGAGCAAAGGATAAAGAGGGAACATCAGCTGTCCGGCTACCATAATTCTTTGCTTACATGCCATTAGCCAGAACTTAGTCATATGACCACACCCAACTGTAAGGAAATCTGGGAGATGTAATCTTATTCTGGGCATCGATGTTTGGGGTAAAATTGTGGGCTCTGTGCCTAGGAAAGAAAGACAGAGCAGATATTGGGAGTTGTAGCCTAAACCTTAAAGTTCTCTGGATGCAGAACTAGTCAAATAAGTCACACCATTTAGTCTCTGCCCCTTGCCATGTGTGCTTAATCTTAGTGGTCTGCATTTGAGTCTGCTCCAGGTCTACAGGCAATTTGTGGTTATTATTTATTTTAATATTTATTTATTTGTTTGTGCCCAGTCTTGGCTGCAGCATGCAGGATCTTTAGTTGTGGCATGTGGGATCTAGTTCCCCCATCAGGGTTTGAGCTTGGACACCTGCATTGGGCGCATGGAAACTTAACCACCTGGGAAGTCCCCAGTTTTTACCTTTGGGTGTCTCTTTCTTGTTATTTGCTCACAAATGAGGCAGATCTAGCACTTCCTTAAACCTGTGCACTTTACAAAGCCCCACGGCCTCCCTCAGCCGCTGGTGAGGGGTAACCCCTAACCCTAACCCTTTCCCCGCCCCAGACTTTCTCTCCCCCTCCTCCTCCCTTGCAGGCTGTTGTCAGGATTAGAGATCGTGTGTACAAGGTGTCTGGAATGCTAAGTCGAGCTACTACTGTTATCCTTAGTCTTTTTCCTCCCTGTCTTTGCTGGGATGTGATATTTTGGTCTGCTGCCTGGGGCGGACAGCAGTGTGCTGGGGAGCTGAATGAAGGTGAGGTAAGAGTAGGGGTCTTCACATTGTCCTGGGACAAAGCGGGGCCCGTTCCCCAACTGCTCTTTCTCTGCTTTCTGCCTGGAGGGGCTGCATGAGCACTGCATCCGTGGACCCCCTGGCACACAGGCTCTGGTCAAGTCAGAGTAGTTGGGGCGGTAGGGGAGATGGAGGGTGGGCTGCTTATTTCCTTGGCTCCCGTGTGGGGTTTTGCAGGATGGCCGTGCCCTTCTACCCCAGGTCCTGTTGGCTGGCATTCACTGTGCCCCACCCTCTCTGGAAGCGGTGACTGCTCTTCCCATTTGCTCTGTCAAGGGTCGTGGGAACAGCACCCCTCTCTTGCTTGGTGAGTGGAGGGAGGCAGGGAGCAGAGGAAGGGATGGGATACCCTCTTTTGGTTTCCTGGCCGCTATCTTCTTTGAAAGAGTTCTTTTATTAATTTCTTCTCAATTATGAATTTGAGCACCTTTTGTGTCTCGAGGAGCAGTGCTGGAATAAGGAGTTAAGACCCCTGGATGAGAGGCCAGGCCGAGCCATTCAGTGGCTATGGGACTGGGAACGGGTCAGTCAGGGGGCTGGAGTCTAACCCTCCTCTGTAATCCCAGCCAGCCTCGCAGACTGCTTTGGACATCGCAAGTTGAGGGTCTCAGACTGGGTCACCTTTAGGGGCCAGGCAGGAGCCTAATGAGTGAAGAGGGTTGAATGGGGTCCAGGGGTGCCTGGAGGACATGGCCCTCGCTGAGGTTCCTGGGCAGGGATGTAGATGGTGTGGCCAGAGCTTTTGAATTTTTTGAGGGAAGCTGGAAATATGAATTTTTCTGTGAACTCTTCCTTGTTTTAAATGTTTGCTCAGGTTAACAAAACCAACAACCAACCAAACAATAGTGTAAACACTGCAGGCTGAATAGTTACTTACTCCCTTTCTGTCAAGCCACCTGTCCTGGCTTGGGATACTGCCTTCTGCTCCCTGGAAAATTCTTCCTGGAACAATTTAGGACATTTAGGACAAGGCTCTTTTGACCCAGCTAAGAACTCTCAGGATTGAGTAAATACGGGTTCTTCCAATAGCCAAATAATGTTATAGATCGTCTAAGAGAAAGGGAATCTAGAGGTTGGCTTTAAAGTTTATCTAATCTTAAAAGAAATTGTTTTTGCAATCACAATCAGTACTAGAATGAAAATGGCTTTCACTCATACAGAGGCCTGGACTGAAGCCAACTGGATTTGTGTACTTTTTTTGTAGCCCTCACACTGCCTGGCACGTGGTAATTGCTCATTGGGTGTTTGGTGAATGAATGAGTAAGTGAATGAATGTATAATGAACAGATGGAGAATGGCTCTTTGCTTGACTCACAGAAAGCTGTCCTGTGAACTTAGGTTGAGGGACATGGAAAAAGGCTTCTTCAGGCAATTCGTGAAAGAAACCAAAGATAATGAGGCTTCAGCGTTCATTCAGAGCCTAATTGCAAAAATTCAAATTTAGGTTGTTTTATGTCTGGTGCTTGTTTTTTGTTGAGTTGCATATTTTGGTAAATGAGAGTTCTTAGGCACTGAACTATTCTCAGATAACGTAGTGCTATGGGTAGAGCACTATTTGTAATTTTTTAATAAACTGCAGTGGTTGTTATTTTACTTTTTTGTTGTTGCTGTTGTTATTTTACTTTTAACGAACTTTAGGCGATGTCTCTTATTAATAGGTTAAATTTTAAAAAGCAGGTTTTTTTTCTGAATTTTTAGAGGATTTCTGCCACCTCGTGGATTCTTTGGAGAAAGACAGGAATTTGAAGCAGATAGCTATTGGATTTGATGTCGCAGGCTTTTCCAATTCAGCAAACACTTTAGGAGGTGGTAGGGAGAGTATGGAGAGGAATGTTACACCGTCCTCATTCTCCCCGGAGCTCTCAGTAGCCACGGGGTGAGAAGGGACTTTCGAGATGTTCTCAAACCCTGATCCTCAGAATTGCGGTGGGAGATGGGTGGGAATGGTATGGCCTGTGAAGATAACTCATTGCTGTGCTAAGTTGCTCAGTTGTGTCTGACTCTTTGTGGCCTTATGGACTGAAGCCCGTCAGGCTCCTCTGTCCATGGGATTCTCCAGGCAAGAATACTGGAGTAGGTTCCCATGCCCTCCTCCAGAGGATCTTCCTGACACAGGTATCGAACCCCCATCTCTCACATCTCCTGCATTGACAGGTGGGTTCTTTACCACTAGTGCCACCATACATTAATGGAGAAATTTTCCATGAGAATTTTTGTTCTATAAATTTTTCTTAGATTTTAGGTATCTGCTACTGTTTACTCTAGTCAATGCTATAAAATAAGCATTAATGGAGATTTCCCTCTGGTCCAGTGGTTAAGACACTGTGCTTCCAATGCAGGGGTTGCAGGTTCCATCCCTGGTTGGGGAACTAAGATCCCACATGCCATGAGATAAGGCCAAAAATAAAATAAAATTTTTAAAAATAAGCATTACTGAACAAATATTTAGATAAAAACCCAAAACATGGCAACAGTGGTTCACACTTAGTTGGACAAGTCTTTTTTGGTGGACACATATGCCCCCAACAGTGATTCCTGTTGTATTTTATTGTTTATCAATTTGATAGTACTTAACAAGTTAAACTTCATGGGGAAGAACTTGTGTGCCAGTTCACAGCTTGGATCAAGCACTGAAATGAAACCTTTTTTCAGAGTATCTTGAGGTAAAGCCGTGACTTCTGTCACACACAGCCACCCACCTGGAGCATTCGGCTCAGGAGCTATTTTGTGAAATTTCTAAGGTGAAGGATGTGGCCTGGTCTAAACCCAGGCATCTTATAATTTTAAGAAAAAATTTAATCAGTAGGAGCTGAATAATTCAAGACTGATTTGTAGTGGCTTAAGAAACTAAGTTGGGGTCCAGCCTTGGAGGTATGAATTAGGAATTAAAATCAAGGCTGTTTGTTTTGTTTCTATTTTAATTGCTCTCATTTATATCCTTTAATCATCTATACTTCTCTTAGATAATATTCTGCTGAACCCATTAAAACTGCTCATTGGTTTGTTTGACACTTAAAATTTGTATTCTATTCCTTCTTATAGAAATAATGCATATGCAGCAGTGTTATTTTAGATTAGTACATATGCTTTGCAGGTTCCCCATTTCTGCATGTGGCTCTGGGGTTGCCTGCTTCTGCCTCTGGTGAGTGGAGCTGGATGGACAGGGTCACCAGAAGCACCTTCTGGAGCTGGGAGTAGGGGTTGTCGAGGTGGTCCTGCTTGCCCTGTGGCCCACTTCTCTCCTCTGAGTGCAGATCGCTTTGGCCCTGCCCCTCGTGTCCTTCCTTCTTTGACACTTCTGTCTGCTCCTCTCTGTTGGGACTGAGCAGATGCCCCTGGTCTCACTCTATCCCTCTGCCCTCTCACCAAGCTGACCTCCAATATCAATTCTTCCTGGGGCTCCTTCCTCACCCCTGCCCCCTACACAGCATCCCTGGGCGTACATGGCTCCAGGATGTGAGACTTGGGGCTTTATCTTAGGTGGTCACCAGCTCCACCATTGCCCTTTAGCCACTGGATGTGCCTGTGGGGATCTGGTCCTCCACCGCATGGGGGCGCTATTTCTTGGTGGCCGCAGTCATGCTCCTTACAATAGATCTGTCTGTCCCTGGGCTTCCCTGGTGATTGAGTTGGTTAAGAATCTGCCTGCAATGCAGGAGACCTGGGTTCAATCCCTAGATTGGGAAGATCCCTTGGAGAAGGGAATGGCTACCCACTCCAGTATTCTTGCCTGGAGAATTCCATGAACAGAGGAATCTGGCGGGCTACAGGCCATGGGGTCGCAAGGAGTTGGATACAACTGAGAGACTAACAATTTTACATACCTTCACTGCCCCTGGCTTGGCTACCCAGAGGCCTCACCTCTGATCTCAGGGTGTGGGCTAAGTCCAGTCCTCGTCACAACAAGTGCCCCATCAGAGGCTCCTCCACCTCCTCATAGGAGTGGGCAGACCCCACCACCCCAGAGACCACCTCCCCATACCCCACTATGCCTCTGCTTGACCAAACTTGGGGAATCCCTTTCTTTTCCTGGCCACCCTGCTCTGTCCCTAGAGCAACTTGTTTCATTCTTTAAGTCAGACTTTTCCAAACAGTATCGCTGGAGGCTGTTTTGTTTTTTCAGGTGTGCCCCAGACATCCAAAGGTGATCGTACCCTTTAGATCACCAACATTTGAGGTCATTCAGAATGTGGTGGGGTAGCATCTGATCTACCTCCTGCTCTTATTTCTCTTTACCTCAGTCCTTTTGTTCAGGAAGAGGGTGCACCCTGATCCTATTATCTCAGAGGGGCTGTGGAGGGTTGCCTGGTGATGCCCCTTCTGTGTGGTGATGGCACCGGAGCCAGGGAGAGCTGCACCAAGGTAGTGATAGTCCCCTCTGTAGAAACGGGCTGTGCTCTGGAACACTTGTCAGCTGCTTACTGGCACTGAGGATGCATTTCCCAGACTCCTCCAAAATTAAAGAAAAAATCTAAGTGTTGTCATTGGCCTGTTTTTGTTGGTCTTGTTTTTTCCTTATAAGGGAAGGCTTTGTACACAGAAAACACAATTTATGGCTTCTTTAGGTTCTTGCAACAACAAAAAAGAATCTGGTCTAGAGGTGAGGAGACTTAAGAACTAGGTCATTTATATATGAATCTAGGGGAGTGGGATATAAGGCACTCTTGTCTGGAGAGCATACACTTGGGGTCCCTAATAACACGGGAACTATAGGAGGGCTCAATTTCCCCTGCAGGGTCATGAAAAACATCTCCTTTGGAGAATTCCCTGGCTTTCACTGCTGAGGGTCTGGGTTCAATCCCTGGTCAGGGAACTAAGATCCTGCAAGCCTTGTGGTGTGGCCACACCCCACCCCCCAAAAAAACCCACACAGCCCTCCCCAAAAATACAACCCCCACCCCCCAAAAAATGAAAAAGAAAAATCCACTTTGGTGTCCAGAGCTCCAAATCTTCAGCTTATAAACAACCTCGGTCCACTGAGATCACCCCCAAGTTCTTGAAACAGTATAGTTTCCTTAGTGTGTAAGGGTCTTTTATTCCTGAGAAATCTTAAAATTAAATACAGAGATGCTGAACCCATTGTCTTAATATTTTTGTGTGGTGTTTGGGAATTATCTTTGACTATGTGGTATTTAAAGTACTTGAAATATTTAAGGGAATTTGGTATATTAGAAAATCTAACAAATTGAACTTATGATTCCAATGAAAAATGTATAATTGAGTATTTGATTTTAGCCTTGTAATTTTAAGCCAAAAGGTATAGAAGAATTTGGTTGAATATATAAAAAAATATATAAATAATGTTAAGATGACTTATGGTACACAATATTCATATAATATTTATGAGTTAATTAGGTTTTGTCAAATGACAGAAAAATTTATAATTAAAATTGTAGACACTGTAGATTTATAGTATATTAAAAATATAGTATTACAGATTAATGTATGTATAAATTTATAAATGCAATTTTAAATGCTCAAGGAAATGTAATTAAGTTTGCAAATGGGACTAAACAATGAAGCTTAAAGGTGACTATGGATTTTGCTATAGAGGACTAAGTAGATTTGCATATTTATAGACTATAGAAGAGTAGTAGATTTTTTTTAAAAACTAAGTGTAGCTGATTTACAATGTGGTGTTAGTTTCAGGTATATAGCACAGCGACTCAGTTACACATGTATTCTTTTTCAGATTCTTTTCTCTCCTAGGTTATTACAGAATAGGACCTACTGTGCTATACAGTAGGTCCTTGTTGGTCATCTATTTTATACATAGCAGTGTATGTTAATTCAATCTCCTAATTTATCTCTCCTCTCTCTTTCCCGAGTAGTAAGATTTTTACATTGAACTTAGAAGATTTTGGAATTTGCATCTCTCATTTATTCTAAGATACAGGAATAATAACGTGGGGGGGGGAGGGAGGAGCTTCCGTTCTTTCTTGGGTGGAGATCGAACGTGCTCCCCTCCCTCTCTGCCCTTGCCCCCAAACCTGGGGCTGTCTCCCGGCTCTTCGTGCCCTTCCTCTGACCCAGGAAGTCTCCCCACTCTGGGGGGAGTCTGCCGAGGCACGGTCTTCTTCCCACAGTGACTCACCGTTTCTCTCTCCCAGTCATACCTCCCATGGCACAGGACCTTTGATCTCAGTCAGAAGTCAGGAGGTGGACAAGCGGTGGAATGAATGTTATCCTCATTGAGTGAGTGATAGCTGCTCAGACTCCTAGGGTTGTTAATGAAATTCAGAGGACCTTACTAAGTGGAACTCTAATAGGAATTTGAGGCACTGTACTACCAACTGAACTGTCAGGGAAGCCTAAAGTTGAGTATAAACATTCAAAAGTCCCAGGTTGCAACTTGTGGAAGAGGCACCCGCTAGTCTGTTCCTATGGTTTGTATCTGGCATTTGACTAGCCTCTCTCAAGTGTTTCCTGATTTTCACAACTTTTGCACTTCTTTGCTGTTTTAAATTGAATCTATTTGACATGTAACGTGTGAATTTAAGGTGTACAATGTGTTAATTTGATACATTTGTATGTTGTAATTGCTGTTACAGTGGTATTTGCACCTCTATCATATTTTGTTATTATCATTTCTTTTTAGCAGTTCAGATAATTAAGTTTTAGTCTCAGTTGGTTTGATGATTGGAGTACAATATTTTCGTGTATATTTACTGTACCATGCATTGGATCTCTATGACTTATTTACTTCTCACTGAAAATTTGTATCCTTAAACAACAGCAGTCTTATCCCCTCACTCCCCATCCACTGGTAACTACCATTTTACTCTGTTTTTCAAAAGTTTAGCTTTTTAGATTGACATATAAGTGATACCACAGTGTTTGTCTTTCTGTGTCTGACTTTGCATAATGCTCAAAGTCCATCCACGTTGTTACAAATGGCAGGAGATCCTTTCTTGTGCCTGAATGATAGTCCATTGTCTATATACCACATCTTTTTTTATCCATTCATCCACTGGACATTTAAGTTCTTTCCATACCTTGGCTATTGTGAATAATGCTGCAGTAAACATGGGAGGGCATATATTGCTTTGACATACTATTTTCATTCTTCTTGATATATATATATACTGAGAGCTGGAATTGGTGAATCTTATGGTAGATCTATTTTTATTTTTTTGAGGCAATTCCATACTGTTTTCCACAGTGGCTGGACCAATTTACATTCAAACAGTGTATAAGGGTTCTCTTTTCACCACATCCTTGCCAGCATCTCTTGTCTTTTTGATGACAGCCATTCTAATAGATGGGATGAATCTCACTGTGGTTTTGATTTGCATTTCTCTCATGCTTGCTGATGTTGAGCATCTTTTCATGTGTCTGTTGGCCATCTTGATGTCTTTTGGAAAACTGTCTATTTAGTTCTCTGCTCATTTAAAAACTGTATTGCTTTCATTGTTATTGAGTTGTATGGTTTTTCTATATATATATTTTTGGATATTAATCCCTTACCCAATATACAGTTTACAAAATTTTTCTCCCATTCTCCCAAAGGTTGTCTTTTTCATTTTGTTCATTGTTTCTTTTCTGGTGCAGAACTTGTTAATTTGATATAGTCCCATGTGTTGGTTTTTGCTTTTGCTGTTTGTGCTTTTGGTATCATACCCCCAAAAAAATCATTGACAAGATCAACGTCAAGGAGCTTCTTCCCTAAGTTTTCTTTTAGGAGTACTTCTCTACTTCTTAAACAAGAAGTTTTCTGAACATTTCAAGCTTTCTACACCAGCTTCCAATGATGAAGAATGACTAGGAATAAGGTAAGAGTAACCAGTCGTGTGTTGGTGAATGCTTGGCAGTCAGCAATCTGGAGATCTAATTTGTAGTGTTTGCCAATTTCTGTGGTGTAAATACTATGATGGCTAATTTCAAATTTTCAACAGATTTAACGGCTGGCTCACAAAATTCCCAAGACCAGCTCTCAAGAACTGGCATGCTCTGGTTTAAGCCCACCACTGCGGCTACCTGTTCTATTTTGCCCTCTAATTGGTGGGAAGACAAAAGTTACATATACAGTGTAACAGGCTTCTGAGGTATGGAATTATGTCCTAAATATCCTGTGAGCCCATGGCACTGTCATGTTCATAGACACAAAAGTGTTGATTAGCTAGAGATTTTCCTGCGGACTACTGCTTTTAGAGAATGCCCAGCTAATAGCAGGGAGGCTGCCTCCTCTTTCTGCCAGCCTCAGGGAGGCAGTGTAGGGGAAATACAGGAGCACAGGACAGATCTAAGTATACCAGTGTCACTGAAAGTCAGATCAAGATACCATAAGACTTCAGCTCACATTAACATCCATATCTGATCAACTAACACATTTTCCTCTTATAAATGAGTGTACTAATATTTCAGGTAGAGGGTTTGGCATGCAATTCAGTGATTAGAATGAAATCCCCTGAGAGTCTGTGGCCTTCACCACATATCGCCTGGTGAAGTGCCAAGGCCGCCAGAGAAAGGGCACTAAAATGTTATAATATAAAATGGCTTTTATACCCATAAAGGTGTACTCTATACCATAGACTGGGTGGAGAGCCAGGAGGGCCAGAGGGCTCCTGAAGGCCTTAAGGGCTCAGGAAGTAACCTTTCAGTGAGATGCAAAAAGCAAGGAAAAGGGGGCGGGATTGAGAGGTGACATTCTCCAACCACATGAATTTACTGCTCCTTCCTGGGCCCTTTTGAATTGGGATAGATCTGTAGATGTGTCACGATGGCAGTGTGGCCCTGAGACCCTGGGAGGCGGCTCCTGGAGCAGGATCTGCTGCAAGATTAGACAGCGTCAACAAGCAGGTGACTGGTGGACAGGCCGAAGCTCTGTCCCCTCACTGAAGACCCTGACTGAGGATCCTAGTCCTGACTTGAAGCAACCTATGCCTGGAGGCTTTACAAATCCTCCACATCTTGTATCGGTCATGCATATACCACTGTAGTTTCTACTGAATCATACTAAAATGATTGTGACAGTGTTTATCCTTTATTTATGATTTAAGGTACTTCCAGGATTTCTGGAATAGGAGAATATATTGCTGCCCAGCAGTATTCCTTGAAACAGAAATCTAAGGGAATTTATTTTAAAAATTGGCCTGGATTATTTGCCTTACAAATGCAATGGGAGAAAAACTAGTGCAAAAACCAGGCAAGTTTCTGTCCTGAACATACAGTGAGGCTGCTGATACCACCATAGACAGTGTATGTTGTGAGCAGCTTTCTGAGTTGAAGGAGGGCTCATATCCATGTATATTATTGTCCTTATTACTTAAGAATCAACCATCTAGCAAAAAATGGACTGGAAATCTCCATACCAGGTATTCAGATTATATAGGTTATAGGAAGACATGGTCCTTTAATTCTCAATTAGCTGACATTCCACTAGGGGGAGCCAAATATATAAAAAAGCACAATTGTTGAAAGTGCTGGTAGAGGTCCGGGTGGAAGGCGTGTGGGGTGGAGAGGGTATCAGGAGGAACTCTACGACCTTGCCTCAGGATCAGTCAGGAAAAGTCTTCATAGGAAAATGTCCCTGAGCAGTGTTTCTGAGGTTCCCTACCCCAAATAAGGAGGCTGCTGAGGTGAGCATGGAACTGTCGGGCTTCTCTGTGAAAGAAACAGAAGGTGAGACCTCTGGCCTGAGCCTTCTGACTGATGTACACGGTCAACCTCACGACTGAAGAAAAAAGATCCCCTGGCAATTGTCTGCGGACTCCGCAGAGAACAGCAGGGTCCCTGTCAAAGCCTGAGCCACGTGGAAGTGATGTCTGGGCAACATGTTTTTTAGAAATTATCTCTTCTTTATTGCCACATTCATATAAGAAGTCTGGTATATCTGGGTGGGCAAAAAGAAAGCCACACTGTATACAAAGAAAGTTGTAAGAAGTTAAAAAATAGATGACTTTAGTGTTTGGAAAAGCAGTTACGGATTGCGTCCTCCGTTTATTTATCCAGGCGATCAAAATTCTGGGTCTGAAATTCTTGGAAGTCCTCTGGGATGGTGTCTGCAAAGGACACGAACAGGAGCATTAGGAAGGCTCCCTCCAGCCCGAGTGCACCTCGAGCTGGGAGGCCTCCTGCAGGGGTCGCTGTCAGCCCGCCCAACAAGCCCCCAAAGAGCCACCCCCACCCCCCAACCCCGCAGCCATTTTCCACCTCAGGCTGCTTTGTGAGCTGTTGGCTTAAAGCCCAGGAGCGTCATTCACAGGCCAAAAGAAAATGAGCAGGCAGAATGGGTTTTGAGTTTATGATTATGTTTGAGCTATATAAAAATGAATGCTGCCTCTCAATTAAATCTGCCTCCATCTTTCACAGAACCCTATGTCTCAAGCCAAGCAATTTAATAGTTTAATTCTCTAGGGTTCCATCTCCTCATCTATCAAATAGGAAATGTGAGATCTGCCTTTTGCTTGGATCACAGAGGGACCCTCAGATTTCAGGAATATATGTGGCGTGACCTTCGGCTTCTGGGAGAGATGTGTGCTATACAATAAGCTGGCATTGTTTGATTTTTTTTTTCCTAGTAGTAATAATATTCAGTAACAAGTATGTACATTACCATTGCAGCGATATTTGAGGTTAGACCAAATGATGTTTTCCTGGGAGAAGCAGAACACGCCGAGCCGGCCTCCACGCATGGTGGTGTCTATGGTGACCCCAGAATCAGCCACTAACTCAGAGCCTTCATAAAATCGCACCCTGTGGACAACACAGACAGAGTGGGTTTCAAACCAAGGGCAGGGGGAACCACCCATCAGAAGACTTAGGGGGTCCCACTTCCTGGCCACCTACGTCCTTGCTGTTTCATCTTCCACTTTTCTCGGACCTGGACTGTGCTTCCCCTGCTCTTTTCCTCTTTCCCTGCTAGACTGGGAGATCCGTGAGGTCAGGGACCACCTGTCCACATCTGCCCTTCTTCTGTCTCTCGAAAGGCCTAGATGAGGTGGGGCACCGAGTCCAACTCAATGGGTCCTCGCCGGTGGGTTAGAAAGCACAATACGACCCAGGACCAGGAGGCTTTGTGACTTCACTGCTCAGTGAGTTGCCTTGTCCAGACGTCATGCTTAAAAACCACTGCTCTTCCCTAGGTCTGACTGATGTCGCTCAACTGGTGGGATCCAGAAGGGAGGGACAGCATTCCCTGAGCAGGATTTTAGAAATGTGTGGGGGCATTCTGGGCTGTCACCATGGCATTCAGTGGCAGAAGGCAGGGGTGCTGGGTGGCTTACAGGGCCCTGGAGAGAACAATGAAAACCTGTCCTGCATCCAGACACCTTTGGGGTGCTCCTCCAGACCCGTGGGCAGGAACAGACCCCTGGCCTGCTTCTAGTTATCTGGGCTTAAAACCCAACTCAGTTGTGAATATCAAGTATTTCTGCACTAATATCAACTGATTTTTTCCAAGGTAAACTGATAAACTGTTGAGTATACTTGACTCTTAAACAACATAGGTTTGCATGGGCCCGCTAATACGTGGGGTTTTTCCCCCCCATAAATACTACTTCACTACATGATCTGCGGGTAGTTGAATCTGCAGATATGAACCACAGATACAGAAGGCTGACCATGGGACTTGAACATCTGTGGATTTTTGTCCATTGCAGGTCTGGGAACCACCCCCCGAATTGTTCAAGTCAACTGTACTTCACTGTCTTGTTTAAAAATTAAGCGGTTCACTATTTATCTTATTGGACTATGGTTGATTTACAATGTTGTCTTACTTTCTGCTGCATAGCAAAGTAGATCAGTTATACATATATCCACTCTTTTTAGATTCTCGTTCCACAAAGGACATGACAGAGTACGGAGTAGAGTTTGCTGTGCTGTACGCTAGGTCCTTATCATCTATTTTATAAACAGTGATGTGCAAGTGTCAGCTCTGACCTCCCAATCTATCCCTGTCCCCCCGGTAACCGTAAGGTTGTTTTCTACATTTACTGCTTCTGTTTTGTAAAGAAGTTCATTTGTACCCTTTTATTAGATTCCACACATAAGAGGTATCATACGATATTTGTCCTTCTCTGTAGTGTCTGTTATTTTAGAAATTCACAACACTACTGGCAATACCACGTTGTGTCCACAACACACAATCTGTAGCAGGACATCACCTCTGCAGTGATTCTAGGTACACGGGCCAGCGGCAACCTCACTGTGTGTTCTGCTATGGTTGTGTCCAAGCACTTACACGATTTTGTTATAAACCTTATTTCTCCATTAGGGATCATATTGATCCTTAAAATCATGCAGATAGGTAATATTTTCTATGACTTCATTTGGGATGGAAGAGGCAGCATTTCAAAATATCTGTTATAAAAAAAGGGGCATGCAGCTTAATAGGGCTGAGCATATGAGAGCTTCCCTCTAGACAGACATCACATTTGGTGTAAAGTCTCAAAGAAAGACAAAGTATGAATTAGCTTTCATGATTTCCTTTTTTCCACTTGGCAGCTTTCCTGCCCCGGTCAGGAAAATGCAATCAGCACCCCTTCCTAAAGAAGTACTATGTAAGCTGGGGTGGATCTGTAAGTCTGAGGAATGAGAAAGTAAGTACATTGCTGCTGCTGCTGCTGCGTTACTTCAGTCGTGTCCAACTCTGTGCGACCCCATAGACGGCAGCCCACTAGGCTCCTCTGTCCCTGGGATTCTCCAGGCAAGGACACTGGAGCGGGTTGCCATTTCCTTCTCCAAAGTACACTGACTACATGTCAAAGATGTGGTTCTAAGACATCCTAGCTTCTGAGAATAGGTGTTTGTTTTTTTAAAATACTCCTACAGGGAAGTTCCAAGAGCTTCCCTTGTGACTCAGATGGTAAAGAATCTACCTGCAATGTGGGAGACCCACGTTCGATCCCTGGGTGGGGAAGATTCACTGGGGGAGGGCATGGCAACCCACTCCAGTATTCTTGCCTGGAGAATCCCATGGACAGAGGGGTCCAGTGGGCTACAGTCCATGGGGTTGCAAAGAGTCGGACTTGACTGAGCAACTAACACTTTTTCACAGGGAAATAAGGCAGAACATGGGCTCATAAGAGGGTCAGTTCATGCCCAGGGTAGTATGTGTCGTTGCCATGTCAGGCGCAGGGGAGACCAAGATAAAATGAGACATGGGTGCTGCTCTCGTGGAGTTTATCAGACCATGAGGGACTCACTGCAGCATGAAATGTTGAAGTAAGTGGTGATACAAGGTCCAGAGGGACCACACAGGAGGGCGGATGAGAGAGTCAGTCTTGCCTCACACGGGTCAGGGGGCAGACTGTTCTGGTGCCCAGGCCTCCCCCACAGAAGGTCCTTCCACCCCCCGGTCTGGCCCTACCATCCGGTGGTCAGTCTGAGTGGATTGTCCTCCTCCTACGTCTTTCCTGGGAGCCTGAGGTCCTGGCTCGCCCTCGGGGGCTGTCTGCTCAGGGGAGCGAAGGCTCTGAGAAGTGGGAGGAGGGGGTGCAGCGCCTACCTGATGTAGCCCACCTGGGGCCGGTGCTGCAGGAACCAGCGGTAGGACACCTTGTCCTTCCAGCCCACGTTCCTGGAGTCCTTCCACAGCAGCCGGACCTGGTCACTGGTGTCCCCTGTGTGCCATAGCGAGTTGCGGAGATGCTCCCCTGGACCCGTCTTGGACTTCACGGCCTGGACAACGACACGAGCAAGGTCTTAGATGCACAGACCGCACCTGCATCCCACATCCCTGGGGTGGGATGGGGTCGGGATTCATGGGTGCAACCCGGCGGCCTTGAATATGGATACAAGGCGTAAACACTTAAATGCCATTTCTACTGTGGTCATCCCCAACCTTCAGTAATCAGCACTGGCCGGTATTCCACTAATTTGGTCCATGCTTTCCCTGCTGTAAGCCCCATCACTCCCCACATTTGGCCAAGGAGGGCTCTGAGCTCTGCCTTTCCTCCCAGCAGGAGTGACGGACATAGCTTCCCAGCCCTCCTGTACAAAGCTGGCCACCCCGAGGAAACACATTAGTCAGTTTCCAAGGGGAGTGTGCCTGAAGATGTACCCCTAAATCTTCCCTGCCTCTGGGGCTGGATGTTCTCACCCAGAGGGGAGCATGCAGCTCCTAGGGAGAAGCGGAGGCATGGCCCCCTGGATGGGCTCCAGAGTTCCCAGATTTGAGCACAGATGCATCCATTTCTTAATGAATAAGTGCCACATGGGAGAACACAGCATTTAAAAGGAGGGTGAAGGGCCCAGAAGGAAGGGGGATGAGCACCTTGAGCTGAATGCCAGGCTCCGCGACAGCTCGGAACGGGGTGGCCTGCCAGTATGTCTGCTCCGTCTGCTTCCACATGACCACATAGAAGCTGGAGCTGTCCTGGTAGCCGAAGATGAAGCCGGCGTAGTCATCGTCCGTCTGGGTGTTGACGTGGAACGTCCCTTCGAAGTCAACTCCGTTAAAAGCCGTGTACCCTGTGAAGATCGAAACAGATGAGAAAAACAGACAAGCTATGCGGGTGGCTGGAAAGAGTGAATTGCACACAAGCGGTGCCTGAGGCCCTGGACATACCCACTGCCAGGCCGGGATCGCTGTTCATGGTCTGCACGATCTCCATGCCCTGCAGAGAGAAATGCAGGAGTTAAGGTTAACCTCAGAGGGGGTGGAATAAGCTCCAGGAAGCTCAGATTCTCGGGCATCACCGGTGAGGAGTCAGTGATGTCTGAGCTCCATGTAAAGATTTCACTATCTGAAGAACTGCCCTACCTTGTTATGTGCTCAAAGAAAGCATATACTTTTCTGTCAGGGAATGTTTGACGGGAGGGTTCCTGCGTGCTGTCTCTCACGAGTCCTCTGTCCCTCCTCAAGCGGAACAGCACGCTGCTCCCAGGGACTGAGGTCATTGTGTGAGGCAGGCTTGGGTCTCCTTTAGTAAACATTCTCTTTAGGACAAAACTGCTTAGTCTCGTCCCCCTTTCTTGAGATATGGATTGTCTCCTGACCTTGTGACTAGCATTACCCCTTGTTCCCTTGGTAATGGTTGCTGTACCTTTGGTTTTCTGATCTCTATCATTCCCGAAAGAAGTTTCTTGTACCACAGCCTATATATACTCATAGAAAAATCATTAAAGCACCTTTGCTCCATCAGAGCTTAGGTCCCCGGGTCTTTTCTGTCTCTCTCTTTCTCTCTTTTTCTGGCTGACTCTCCGGAGCGTGGAGACCCGTCATGCTCACTTTTCTGCCCGGGCTTCTAAGACCCCCTCGAGAGGGCGCCTGGTGCCTTTGTGAGCGATGCAAGTCCTGTGTCAAGGACTTTATTGGTCCTCTGCGTAAACCAAGAGATATCAGCCTCTTTCTCTCTCTCACTTTCTTATCGTCGACGCCGTACCACAAGGTTCCGGTCCATTAAAGGACCCCAACCCTTTTCAACAAAACAAAACCTCAATGCTGACTAGAAACAGTTTTGCTAAAACTCACTTAAGTTGACTCAATAGACTCTTAATTAGAGAACATATGCTTTACATTTTTTTTTAAGTTTTAATTGGAGAATAATTGCTTTACAACACTGTGCTGGTTTCTGCCATATTGTTGCTGTTCAGTCGCTAAGTCGTGTCCGACTCTTTGGACCCCATGGACTGCAGCCCGCCACCCTCCTCTGTCCATGAGATCTTCCAGGCGAGAATACTGGAGTGGGTTGCCACTTCCTTCTCCAGGTTTCTGCCATGCAGCAACATGAATCAGCTGTAAGTGTACATATGTCCCCTCCCTCTCGAACCTCCCACCCCAGACCCCTCCTCCCACCCCTCGGCTGCCAGAACATGGGGTTGAGCTGTGTCACACAGCAACTTCGCCTAGCTAGCTATTTTACTCATGGCAATATGTGTTTCAGGGCCATTCTGTTTGTCCCACTGTCTTCCCTCGCTGTGTCCACAAGTCTATTCTCTATGTCTGTGTCTCTACTCCCGCCCTGCAAATAGGTTCAGCAGTAACCATTTTTCTAGCCACAAAAAGGGACAAATTTGAGTCAGTTGAACTAAGGTAGATGAACTTAGAGCCCGTTATACAGAGTGAAGTAAGTCAGAAAGAGAAAAATGAATGTCATATATTAATGCATACACATGCTTTTAATGAAAGTGACCCGCTGGGTGACAATGGAAAATCTACTAAGCCTCTCTGTGCCTGCCTTCTTTAGTTCTACAAGGAGGCGAACACACAGGAGCCCCTGCTGCAGAGACTAGGGGCACGGGTCAAGGGTCAGACTGCCTAGGTCCCAAATCCAGCAATCTCAGCTTCTGACCTGCCGTGCTAGCATGAGGAATCAGTCCAGCTTTGTAAGACTCGAGCTCAACATCTGTAAAACGAGTCTAATTAAAGTGCTCCGTCAACAGGACTGTTGTGGGGAATAAATGTGACGTGGGAGAGCGCCTGGCTCACGGTCGGCACCCTCTGAATAACCCACTTCTCTCAGGAGGGCCTGTGCTGGGGGAGGAACTGGGAGACCGGGTTTGACACCTACACAGCACTGGTACTGCGTATGAACCGGAGAACTGGCGAGAACCCGCTCAGGGAACTCTACTCACACCTGCCTGGGAAGGAGGGCCAGAGGGAGGGGATGTGTGTGCCTGGGTGACCCGCTTCGCTCTACGGCGGCAACTAACACGACATTATAAAGCAACCACTCTCCAATAAAAACCAGTTTTTAAAAAGCCTGTGTTGAGAGGCAAAGCGGAGCCATCGCCAGCCCCGTGGCACTCACCTGGTTCAGGACCACCCAGTTGGGGTCGATCTGGGCATCCCCTTCAGGGTCCAGGACCACGGTCTGATAGGCCCTGAAGTCGGTCAGGGTAACCTCTGCGTTCTCTGGGCACACGTCTATCCGATCAATGACCTGGTCCTGGTCAAAGTCGGCCTCACAGATGTCTCCCACTCCGTCACCTGAGGGAATGGAGGAGGGGAGCTGGGTAATGCCCACCATCCCCACGCCACCCCCTCTGTGGCAGGAGCCAAAGAGAGCCCAGCGCTAGGGCGAGGTCCTCAGCCCGCGTGGAGAGAGAAGTCCTGGAGTCAGCTGTGGCTGAGCCGGCCCCGGGGTCCTCGTGGTGGGCGGGTGAACCCCGCTGCAGGTGGTCAGAAGGACGTCCCAGCGGCAGCGTGAGGGTAACTGTTCAAAGCTGACCTGACAGGAAACCCTGGGTGGCCTCTAGGACAGGCATCTCACTGACGGGTGGGTCTTAAGTCTGACCTTACGTAAGCAAATGTCTGCAGTACTGTCTGGACTATGACACAGAAAAAGCTGGGAAATTACGGCCACCAGACACTCTCTCAGAATAATTTACAATGACCCTTAGGCTGAATCTAGCCCAGAGTGTCTTTTGTCCAGCTAACAGGATGGTATTAGTATTAAAACTTGAATTTGCATACTTGGCATGGGCATGCCCTTGCCAGCTCACCACCACGCTTACCACCGTGCTCACAACTCTGCCATCTCCCTTCCGGCTCTGTGCACACCTCTCCCCTGAGGGTATCGGAGCCTGTGAACCCCACCCCGGCCTGTGCTGCTCTGGCCTCCTCTCCCTCCTGCTCCCGCTGGGACCCTGGTGAAAGGTGTGGGCAAGCCCCAAGGGGGAGCGCCTGGTGGCTTCCTGGCCCCATGTGGTCTCAGCCCAGGGCTGTGCCCTTCGCTGACAGCTGGAGGCGGGTGACCTGGACCCAGGGCTCTCCTGGCCACATGAGCAGTGGCTGCCCGGAGACGCAGGGCCCGGACAGAGGTGGGCTACCGCGAGCCTGGCTGAAGGGAGCCCCAGGCCGAGCCCGCTCACTGTTCCTGTCCTCCTGGGCGGGGTTGGGGACCAGCCGGCAGTTGTCGGGCCCGGGGGGGACCAGGTCTGGGATGCCGTCGTTGTCGTCGTCGTCGTCACACTCGTCTCCTATCCCATCCTTGTCCGTGTCCAGCTGGGCGCTGTTGATGACAGTGGGACAGTTGTCTGTGCTGTCCTGGTGCCCGTCTCCGTCACTGCGGGAGAAAGGAGGGAGGGTCTAGGTCACGGCTCGGCAGGGGACACGAGGAGGCCGGTTTTTAGGGGGAAGTTTGGGCTTGGTCTTTTATCAAGCTTCCCTGGCGGCTCAGAGGGGAGAGAATCTGCCTGCAACGCAAGAAACCCAGGTTCGATCCCTGGGTCGGGAAGATCTCCCGGAGGGCATGGTAACCCACTCCAGTACTCTTGCCTGGAGGATTCCATGGACAGAGGAGCCTGGCAGGCTGCAGTCCTTGGGGTCACAGAGTCGGACACAACTGAGCGACTTTCACAGGTCCTTAGATAAGGCTGCCTTATGGGCCTCAGAGACCGTTTCCTACTTCCCCGATCTGTTGAAAACAAGATCTTTTCTATTCAAAATAAGGGTCAATTTCTGTGATTCTGTGACCAGATGCTCCATTAGTCCCTGGCACAACTACGATTCCTGGCAGAGACTCTGGGAGGGGACGCGAGGGAGGGGCGGGGGTGCCAAAGTGCTGGCTGAGAGCCCTGGCTCAGCCGTGCGCCTGCCCGTGGCCCCAGCACGACACGTGGCGCTCCGTGGCTCGGCATCCCCCTCTGTATCATGCGGACAGTAACAGCCTGCCTCGCAGGCTTGAAGACTGAAGCCTATTAGGATAGTGCATATTACATATTTACACACGAAAAACCACTTCCAGGGGCCTGGCCCTTGGGAGGCCCTGGGGTGTCTCCTTTTCTAATACTCTTCACCATGCCTGGCCAGCAGACCCGAGAAGCTTCAGCTGTGAATGCACAAGAAGTGGACATCAACATACTTCTCAGTCTCTGAGTCTCAATTTCTTCCCAGGCCTGCTGGCCACCAGGGGAAGAGTGTGCCCTGTCCCCAGGCTTCCCTGAGTAGATAGTGGCCTCCTATGGCTACTTGGGATTAGAGCAGATATTCCTTTCACCAGTTCTACCATGGCCCATCCTGGGCTAGCAAATACCCCCACGATGGGGTAGGAAAAGGAGGCTAGGGACCAGTGCATGCCCTTCAGACCAAGTTTCCCAGATGGGACCCAGGGAAAGTGAGGTCAGCTCCAACAGCGGGATTCCTGGGCCTGTGGCAGGGCTGTTTTCCAAAACATAAGCCTGAGCTATTGCCGTCAGCAGCCATGCCATATAGCCCCGAACATTTTTATGCAAAACCAAGCAGTTTCTGTCCTCAAGTCTGTGGGAATTAAAATGTAGCAAATGAGTCATTTATTTTAGGCAAATTCTAGAGGGTGGTGGGACAGGATATTTTAGAAAGCACTCAGATGGCAATCAGAGTGCAGGATGACCTGCAACAGGGAACATTCGTGATGTTCATCACCGAGGGAAGTTGTCAGGGTACCAGTCCCACCTTCCACTCAACAACGGAGATGTCCTGTGTCAGCCTGTCATGGACTTGCCTCTCCTCATGCTGTGGGAACAATAATACCTCACTTACCATTTTCTGCAGGTCACCCAGGGGCCAGTACTGTGCTGGGAGCTTTACCTACATTATCTTTCATTTGCACCATCACTTTTAAGATGCATGCAATTATCTCTACTTTGCAGATGAAGAAGTTGAGACTCAGACTGAGAAGTAAGCTGAAATTCACTTAGCCAGCATGTACTCTGCAGCACATGGATGGAGATGGGGCTTGACAGGGCAATCCGTGAGCAACGCTGGGCTTCAGCGCTGCTGGCTGTAGGGCAGCCTCTTAGGAGAGGCTGAGGAGGGAAGCTACCTTGTTCCCTTTGCCTTTCAGACCCTTTTCCCTCCCTCATCCCTGTCCTGCTGCCCCTATGATTCCCTACGGAGATGACAGGGTCCAGAGTCTCGGACTGCAGGTGCCTCTAGCAGAACTGCCCATGTCTATGTTTTTGATGTTCTTATAGCATCTGATCTAGCTCTATGTCCTAATATAGGCCTCCATCTATTTGGGACTAGAAGGGCTGACAACATTCATTTGCATAGAACAATTCCAAAGAAAAGACAACTGAATGAAAAAATTCCAGAGACAATGAAATCACAAAGATCTCTCAGCAAACTGGCAGCTCTCTATTTGGGGAAGATGGTGAAGCTTCCCTGAGCTGAAAGAATATGTAATAGCAAAAGAGCTAATATCCATGCAACAGAAACTGTGATATGTACTTTCCATAAAATTAACTCAACCTTCACAATAGTCCTAAGAGCTACATTCCATTTTTAGCCCCATTTTACAGATGAGGAAATGGAGGCACAGAGAGATAGGCAGCTGCTGTGTTAAGGTTAGCTGATGTGTAAGTGGAGAACTGGGATTTCCATCCAGGTGTGTTGCTCCAGAGCCCATCTCTAACGAGGGATGCCACACTGCCTCTCCTGTGATGGGGTCTCAGTTGCTTGATAGCCTCGTGGCCCCTCCTGATACAGTCACCTCCCCCATCCACAGAGGTGCAGTGACCCTGATCAAAGACAGAGCTATTGTTCCTCTGGCAACTCAATCTACCCAGAGAGCCCCCAAAGCATGGCAGCAGCAGAAAGCTCTGAGAGAGAAACTCTCTGAATTTTTCATCTGGTCCTATGCAGTTGGGAGATGTGCCATACCTGTCCTGATTGGTGTCACAGGAGTCCCCAACCAGATCGTTATCCACGTCAGACTGCAAAGGGAACAGAATGTGTTATTTATCCCTAGGCCTGCACAGAATGTTCCGGAGAAGGCAGACCTGGCCCATCATCACTGGATCTCAGGAATTATTTCTTTGAAATTGAGGTGGTGCAAACTGCAAAAGGACAACACCATATTGGTGTAGGCACAATGCTGAATTTTCAAAAAAGTCTTCCAAAATATCAAGCTCCAAGGATGAGCTGCCTACACACCAGATGAGCTGACTGGAAAAGGGCGCTGGGGCAGTGTGGTGGCAGGTGCAGACACGGCCCTCTGGCACGGGTCGGAAGGGAGCCAACCACGGACACGAGGATAAGGCAAGCAGGTTCTGCTTTGCGTCTGCATTTTGGAGTGGAGCCAGAATGGGAGTGAGTCAGAGGGCGACAATGACGACCCTTTCCCAGGGCTTTCAAAATACGTGATACATCAGACCCAAGGATCCAGACAGGAAGGAGGAGAGAGAAGAGAAACTATACATCACTGACTGAACCTAATCTGAAATGTTCATACACAGGGGTTTGGGGATGAAAAACAGACATGAGGCTCCCCATGGTTAATTTCCATTACATTTTCCTTTCAGCAGAGAAAAAAAAAACTTGTTCTGGGCATCCTTAGACTCCTATGACTGACCTCAGAGGGACTCTACAGCCTGTGAGATGAGTCAGAGGGCCCCAGATGTCCTGCAGTTTCCTTCCCATCACCTCCAGGCCTACGTATCCAACAGTATCACCTCTGCTGTTAAGAGGAAGGCAGCAGCAGCACACGGGGCTGGTGGGCTCTGTGGGGTTCTTCCAGACACTGGTCTTAATGTGCATCTTTGCACGGGGCGCTCAGCCTGGGGTTCGGCTTCACCTGGGTCCTACTAACCTGATTCGGGTTGCTGACCTCAGGACAGCTGTCACAGGCGTCCCCCACACCATCACCGTCTCTGTCTTCTTGGTCACGATTGGGAACTTTCTGGCAGTTGTCCAGGATGTTTTTTATTCCTGCAAGACAGGAATGCTTCCCTGAGTCAGGCGAACGTCACAGAAAGGTCTGGAGCACAGACTCTCAGGGGCTGTCGCCATCAGGCCAGCACGCGGGGAGTGGCATCCGCCCAGGCCACCCCCGGGGAGCACCACCTCTTCCAGCAGTTATCTGCTGTGTGTGCATGCTCAGTCATGTCTAATTCTCTGTGACCCCCATGGGCTGTGGCCCCCCAGGCTCCTCTGTCCATGGGATGTTCCAGGCAAGAATACTGGAGTGGGTAGCCATTCCCTGCTCCAGGGGTGCAGTTATCTTGAAGTAACATTAAAGGATGGATTCTGGGAGGCTCAAAAACGAACAGTGACTTGAGGCATTTATCCAGTGAGTTAGAATCTGTCCAAGGGGTCGAGGGCTATCACTGTGACCAAATGAGGCATCAGGAGGGCCAACCCTGGGGAGGGAGGAGCTTGTGGGTCTGTTACTACCAGGGCCCCAGGGCGTGGGCGGTGGTGGGCTGGAGCCAGGCCCCTCATACCATTTCTCCCCAGCTTCCTGTTCAATCATGTCATCTCCTCTTGGTACCTTGGAACCAGGGATGGTGGGAGTGGTATTTACATCATGGAAATGCAAATGCTACAACTCAGGGCCTTTTCTGTTCATTTTGCTGAGCTGGTTTACCAGCTGTCAGGCTTATAGAAGGTAAGGTTGCATTTTGGAGAGGTGTGGATTTTCTGGAGTAGGGTGTTGGTGGGTATAGTGTATTTCTAAAAGGATATTCCTTCGAGGTCCTGTGATGTGATATGTTTTTCAGAAATGATCGGATCCAGCCTATACTTTGATGACAGTCATCTATGTCTTATGGGAGCTATACAGAAACAAATGTCCTTCCCCATGGCCTGTGGAGCTCTAGAACTGTCCTCTAGGGGTGCTACTCACACAGACCAAAGTATGAGTGGACCCTGGAGCTGGCTGATGGCAGCCACCTCCCTTTCCACTCTCTGGGAAAAGACCTGATTCTCTGCGTGAGGAGCCTGACCTGCGGCTGCAGCGCTTGACCCTGCTCTGCCCCTCTCCCTCAATCTTCCACTTCTCGGGCTCTTACACTTGAGAAGGACGGTGGGAGGGAGGAAGCTGTAGTCTGAGAAGACAGATGTCCTCCAAAGACACAGCCTTGACAAGACATTGCTTGAAGGGATTCCTACAGCTTCTGGCAATGATGTCGAGTTCCTGGAGCATGAAGGTTATTAAACATGGGAGAAATAAGTAGACAAAAATAAGTGGACCTGGGGTCCCCCAGGCTCAGGCTGTGTAGAACCACCCAGAGCAGGAAGGCCTTCAGAATCAGTCATTCTATTCCTGCTCCTAAGAGAGAACAAGGAGAAAAGCACAGATAGGTCCCGAGGAAAAGACGGAGCGAGGCAAACCCACCGTCCCCATCCATGTCGTCATCACAGGCATCGCCTTTCCCATCCCCGTCGGTGTCTTTCTGGTCGTTATTCAGCACGTTCCGGCAGTTATCACAGGCATCCCCGAAGATGTCTTTGTCACTGTTCCTCTGGTCCACGTTGTGGGTCAGGACACAGTTATCCTAGAGGATCCCGAGACCGACATTTACTGAGACCCCGCCATGTGCCTGGTCCTGTGGTGGATGCCAGTCAACCTCCTCCCACCCCACCCCCCTGCCACGGGCATAAGATGTGAGACCTCAGGTGGGCAAAGCTCCTCAGTTTTGTATTTTAAACGTTTCGGAATCTCAGAATAAAAAGTTACAGTGCTGTGGAAACACAGGCGTGGAAACGGACATTTGGGATGATTCATATAAACAGTGAACTTCACGGACTTTCCTCCACCACCTCTGGCACGTGGCCATTCCCAGGCCCTCCCAGCAAAGCAGGTGCCTACCTGCTCATTCAGGATCCCGTCCCCATCAGCATCCTCGTCGCAGGCGTCTCCAATGCCATCCCTGTCTGCGTCCTCTTGGCCAGAATTTGGCACATACTTGCAGTTGTCCTAAGTTGGAGAAACACAGCTCAGGGGGACATCTACGTTTGTCTTTTTTTCAGCTTTAGCTCAGGGGGACATCTACGTTTGTCTTTTTTTCAGCTTTATTGAGGTATTTTAACTGACAAAATTGCAAGACATTTAAAATGTATAATGTGATGATTTGATACATGTATCTATTGTGAAGTGATTCCTCTACTGAGTTCATTAACATATCTGTCACCTCACATATTTATCCCCATCTTTATTTTGCTAAGAACATGTAAGTTCTACCCTTAGCAAATTTCAAGCATACAATACAGTGTTAACTACATTAGATCCACAGATCTTATTCACCTCATAATGGACAGTTTGTACCCATTTACCAACTTCTCCCCATTTCCCCACCCCATCTCCATTTAAGTCAAAAACTATTTCTCACCTCAACACACTCTGTACCTATCTGACTTTGTTGTCAATAGCCATTTTGCTACATTTGAGATGCAGCTACTTTAAAAATACAGTTCTGAATGGAACCCACAGAACCTCTCCCCCATATAAGATGTGGCTTTGAAAAGCCACAGAGCGAGTCTGCATATGTGCTTGCGTGTGTGTGAACGTGTTTCTCCTGCTCGTCCCCCTCACCTTTTTGCAGTTTCTGGCAGAGCACGGCAGTTCTTCATCAGGGTAACTGTCAATGTCCACATCCTTTCCACAGACGTAGCCGTCCCCAGCCCAGCCGACCCCACACTGGGAAGACAAAAGCCTGTCAAGAGCCCAGGCGCTGAGCCTGGTGGGAGGCTGGGGTTTGCAAGGGCCTCTGCACAGGCCCAGAGGGAGGGCCCAGAGCCAGGAGGCTTTGCTGGTAGGATTTTAAAACTATTAAGCTGTGTTTTGAATATTGTAGTCTAATGGTTCAAAATTCAAAAGATACAAAGGCAGAGTGAAAGTTCCTTCCCGCTCCTGGGCTCAGGAATCCAGGCAATCCACTCTTATGAATCCTTTCAGAGACACGCTGGGGCAGAGACCAGCAAACATATATTCTTTTCCTTTTTTTTTGTCCTTTAGCACAACTGGTAGCACACACATATACTACTACTACTTACATCTTGGGACTCTTTCCATATCACTGTATGCAGATGTATTATACATAAATTGGAATATGTGCACCTTAATTCAACCAGTCCCCTACTGGTGGGTGTCAAGTTGTTAAAAACTTTTTCTATTGCAAACAATGCTGCCACAAAGAATTCTAGTAAATTTGTCCTTCTGCACATTTGACAAATTCCAGTATATTTGACCTTTTGGTTTCTTAGTGTGAAATTCCTGGTTCAAAGGGTATTTATTTGTATTAATATTTATAATTCGGAATTATTGTCAAAACATTCTCCACGGGAAATAAATGCACACATGGGGAGAGAGGCTGTTGAGGCACTTTGCTTATCATCCTGGTGCCATATCTCTGTATCTAATGGTCTTCTAGATCATCTTCCACCACATGGGGAACCTTTCAAGGTGCTTAACCTCTATTCATATCCCCTAACAGGAGAAGGTTCCCAGAGGTGTATTGCTGGGTCTGTGCATTCTTTATTTTTCTGAAAAAGTCTACCCAAGTTCTCTGCCACCACCAGCTGCTGAGAGAAAGCCTTCATTGCTAGTAGAATAGGCATTAAAGTAACAGTTATTCCAGACCACACTCTATAGGCATTTTCTCCAGTCCTTACAGTGATGGTGCAAGGTCATCATTACCCAATTTTACAAAAGAGTCAACTTAGAGCAGCCAAGTCCCTTACCCAAGGTCTCAGGGCTGGGACTTGAACTCAAGACTGTCCCAGTTCAATGTCTTCTGCCATATGTATTTGGTTAACATGAGTTATCCCCCTCATATCCATATCCTAGTGGGCCTGCTTAAAAGATGAAAAGAGAGAGGCAATCCTTCCATAAGGGTGTCCCCGGGGTGTGAGGTGGTAGCTGGGAGCTCAGCCCAGGAGCAGGATAGGGACCGGAAGGGACAGGTAGAACAGAAGAAACAAGGGCCAAGGGGGCCTGGCAAGTGACAAGGAACCAGTGAGGTGGGGACCAGAGGTGGGGTGAGAGTCTGGAGAACAGAGTCAGGGCCAAGGGAAAAGAAACTCGACATGAGCTAATGTTAAATTTCCTGCCCTCGTTAATCAAAATAAGGCGATGTAAGACCAGTGACTTCCTAGGCTGCAGCCTGCCTCTTCTCAATCACGTGCACTCCTCTTCTGCAACCAGAGGCACGGAAGGCAGGGTTCCAAGGACACCCCTCCCGTAACTACCCCTATTTCCGTTCAGCTGTTTCAGCAGGGCCTTTAGAAGGCCTGGAAAGCACAGCCATGGGGGTATCGTTCTTGACTCATTTTAATGAAGAAAAAATTTCCTCTAGGAACAAATACGTTTTTAATGAGCCAGTTTCTGACAGATTAAATTATTTTAGTAGTCACTCCAAGTGTATTAATCCTTCACCATCTGTCGCTGTGCCTTATTACAAATTCAAAAACACATTAAGAGCCCCATCACCCACCATCCCAGGGGAATCGTTAATTTGTTCACAAAAGATGAAGATTTAAACATAGATATATGCTTGCCTCTCAATGGGAACAAACATGCCCCATTGATAGGAATTAAAGAAATCGTTGGTTTTTTCCTCCCCTTTCAACCCAGCTTGTTCCCTCGTCAGTACCTTGTACAAATTACTTGTATCACTGGAGAGAGGGGATGGCATTACAGTTATCTCTTTAACTTGGTTTTGCTTCTCCTCATTCGTCCTATTTGAAAGCCATGTGCTCACAGTAGAAAATTTTGAGAACAAAACGGTAAAGAAGTCCGAGGTATGAAGAAGGGAGAAGTCTCCCAGAATCCATCCTGCTGTTCAGGCTGACTGCTACACCAGACTCTAAGGAGCCTGATCCCCAGGGAGGAAGGAGGAAGTGAACAGCTGAAGACGGATTATTTAGCCATGTCTAGAACTGAACTGAACTGAGAAGCCTCCCACTCCCGTCCCAGGACTCCGGGGCTGGGGGTTTGGGGACAGATGGCAGTAACAAGCTCCATCCCTTACCAAGGGCCCACTCCACACCTGAGTGGTGGGAGACCCTCGCGAGGCTGAAGTACTCTGCCCTCTTCCCTGGCCTCCCCTCCACAGGCGGTTCTTGGGCCAGGAGATGCAGGGGAAGGAGGAGCAGCTCCTCCCGAGCCTGGCAGAGACGGGCAGAGAACAGCGGGTGCTGGGGCAGGTGGAGGCTTCACTCCCAGGGCATTTCATCTCCTGGAGTGTGAGGCCAGACTTGGAAACTGGACGTCCTCGGGGCGAGGACAAGGAGGAAGGGCAGCGTGCTCATGAAAACCAGCAGCTTATTGAGGGACTAGTCGAGGGAAGGCATTTCCCCCGGTCCTGGGGCTCACCTCCTGGGCCTCCCACAGAGGGTGTATGGGAGCTGGGGCTCCACCACCAACATGCCCAAGAAGATGGTGTTGACCCACGGCCAAGAAAGCAAAGGTAGCTGATGGTTAGGTGATTTCAGATTGCTTCCCCAAAACTTCAGCTGACTCTGTTATGACCACATCCTTTATTTTGATGGAACTGCTTTTGTTTTTGAGTGCTCTTACTCTGAAGCAAGCAGAAACCAGAGAGGGGTGGTGGTTCAAAGGGAATTCGGAAAACGACAAAGCAAGTAGCAGATGACTTACCACGCAGGTCACATCCCCCTGCCTCTCTTCGATGCACTGGGCGTTCACACTGCAAGGGTTCAGTTCTGGATCTCTGCAGTTTCTTTCCATTTTGCATCCCCTCATCTGATCACCGATGTACCCTGGTTTGCAAGGCCCACAGCGATAAGATCCCTGCAAGGAGCAGAGTGAGAGGATGAGCCAGGGGCTCGGCCCTGGGAGCAAAGGGCCCATGATGGAGTCTATTTGTATATGGACTTGATGATGCCAGGACCAAGTGAGCCCCATGCCAGCCTCTGTTGTGTGTGTCTTATAACATCGTGTGAATGTTGAGGGAAACACTAGCAGACTGGAAGTCACAGCCAGCCACAGAGACATTAGAGGATAGAACCAAAGGCAGAAGAAGGCTGGCCGGCGAGCCACTTGGTCTTGCCAGCTCCACTGTGGAGGGCCAGGAGGAAAGGGGTGAAAACCTTAACGAAGTCCTGGGAGGTGGACAGAGAGAATTTACTTTGGGGACAAAGGATATGGCTTGGTTAAAAGGCAAGTTAGAAAAAAATTTTTAATGTTCATTAAAAAAAAAAAAAAACTCAAGTGATGAACAGAGAAATGTCAGTGGCCTAGCACTGAGGATTTTTGATGAGGTGGGCTGGTGTGGAAGAAACCTGGCAAATGAGCTGTCAGGTCCATTGGGATAGCACTTCCAAGGCAAGTCTGACTTTTTTTTAAAGACAACTTTACTGAGATAGAATTTACATACCGTGAAAGACACCCATGTAAAGTATACAATTCAGTGATTTTAGTCACTCACAACTCCTTAATCACTAAGTGCAGAAGATGCTCTCCGGTGATTTTTTTTTAAACATTTATTTGGCTGTGCAGGGACTTAGCTGTGGCATACACGATCTTTAGTTGTGGCATGTGGGATCCAGTCCTCTGACCAGATATAGAACCCAGGCCCTCTGCATTGTGAACATGGAGTCTTAGCCACTGGACCACCAAGGAAGTTCCTTTTTTTTTTTTTTTTTTTTTTTGCTGCACCACAGGGCTTGTGGGATCTTAGTTCCTTAACCAGGGACTGAACCCAGGTCCTGGAAGAGACCTAACCATTGGACTGCCAGGAAATTCCCTCCAGTGATATTTCTTGGTCTGTTAGTCTCCCTGGACCATGGCCTTTGGTCACTTCTCTCCTTTTCTTTGCTCCTCTGCTCATCTTCCTTTGCCTACTTGTTCATTTTTGAGGTTCTCTAGAGTTCTACTCTCTAGACAATTCCACTGTCTGCTTTTCTTCTCCTGGGGTGTCTTTAGTTGTTACCTTCATGTCAGTGTCTCCTACATCTATTTCTGCAGACTAGCTTTCTCCTGGTAAAAAGCTAAGCAGCAGTAAGTCCCAGTATATTAGCAGGCAGTGTCGTGAATAAAAACGGTTCTGCAGGCGAACTGGACATGTGTGGTCTTGGCCTAATTATTTCACTTTACTGTGCCTCAGTTCCTTTAGCTGTAAAGTGGGAATAATGATAGTGCCTATTGACAGATTGTTGTAAGGATTAAAATAAATAGCAATATTTATAAAATGCTTTGACATATAAGGAAACTAGGAACCTAGAGATTACAAACCTTTCCTAGGAACATACTCTAAGTGAGAAGCAGTGATATTGTTGTTTGGTTGCTCAGTCATGTCTGACTCTTCCCACCCCAGGGACTGTAGCCCACCAGGCTCCTCGGTCCATGGGATTTCTGAGGCAAGAGTATGTGGAGTGGGTTGCTATTTCCTCCTCCAGGGGATCTTCTGACCCAGGGATTGAACCCACATCTCCTTCACTGGCAGGTGGATTTTTTTTTAACCGCTGAACCGCCAGGGAAGCGAGAAGCAGCAGTAGCTGAAGCCACTAGTTCTTTCCTGACAGTCTACTCGGCTACACCTATCACCTTGGAAAGAGTCAACAGGAACTTCCAGAAATAAAACCCTTTTCCAAAGAGTTAAAATTTAGACCCCTAAGTGTTAAGCAGTTTAATACAAATGACTTTTGAGAAGTTCTGTAAAAACAATGAATACCATTTGGGAATTGTCACCACTAAAGTGCCTATTCTGGAATACTGAACTATTAATACAAACTAAGAACCTCTTCCTATTAAAAAAAATATGAGAATGATAGTATTTTATTAAATAAACATTCATCCAGAAGCCCAACACTGCAACTTTGAGAGATGATAAAGAACAAGTTTGGCATTTTGAAAATTATTATTTTGGACATGCTACTACTCTTGCTTGTGAGATCTTAGTTACCAGACCACGGACTGAACCTGTGCCCTCAACACTGAAAGCACACAGTCCTAACCACTGGACTGTCAGGGCATTCCATTATAAAGTTATTCCTATATAAAAAATTACTTATCAATTACTCTTACAGTAAAAACTTTTTCAGTACAAAACTTTTTATCTTTTAGCCATGCTGCACAGCATGTGGGATCTTAGTTCCTCAACCATGGATTGAACCTGCACCCCTGCATTGAAAGTGTCGAGCCTTAACCACTGGACCACCAGAGAAGCCCTCAGCACAAACTTTTGTCCTCATTTGCAAATCAAATATATTACGCCCATATGTTCTCTATTGCCCTGTTCTCTATTTATAGATACACACTTGTTTTAATCACTGGTCATCAATAACAAGAGCCATGAAACATACTTACCAAAGTGTTAATACAGATAGAATTGAGAACACATGCTCCGTTTCGACACTCATCAATATCAGTGCAAACCTAGTGTGGAAGAGTTCAAAGAGGCACACTGTTTAAGTAGACAGGTAAATACATTTTGCTTTGTTTTGACATCTTTGGTTGAAGCGACAACATGGACTTTCAGAGTGGCTGGTCATCAGAGCACTGTTTCAGCCATCTCCCTGTGTTTGCATTGGTCTAGGCTCAACCTAATGCCAAGGGATAGTTGACTCCCTGGTATTTAAAGCTGTTCAGAAACTTAACATGATTAGTCTGCTCCACAACCTCAGGAAGGTTCTGCTTTACCCTGCCTGGGACTCATGCTCTTCTACCCAAGGATTCCTATCTTTACTCAGTTCTGAAAAACCCTTAGTTCCCCTCTGCTCCTGTTCCTTCTATTCCTTCTCTGTAACTACACTTAAACAAATATCAGACTTTCTTAATCTCTTTTGACTCTTAACCTCTCATCCCTGTTTTCCATATTTTTCTTTCTCTGTGCTATATTCCAGATGATTTCCTTAGATATACCTTGGAGACAATAAATCCCCTGCTAGCTGTTTTGCTCATCTATTTTATTTTTTATGTCAGTTATTATATTTTTCACTGAATAAATTTTAGTTATTTTTTCAAACCTGACTACATGTATTTTTTCCACATTGCCCTATCCCTTAACTATGGTATCTATTTTTTCCTTTTTCTCCTTCTGAACTCATTTTATATTTGTCATATCTCCTCAGGGTTGCTTCTTTATATAAATTACATTTTTGTTTATAAGTATATTCTTAGTGGCCTTGATTTTGCTTGAGGGTGTCCCACGGGCCCTGAGTTTTGGAGTCTCTTCACAAAGTGGTATCAGCCAGGGCCCTGGGGATTTTACTGCTCTAAGGCTAGTTTTTATGTCAATTTGGGGGCTTGTTTCTGCATTCTATCTGTAACACAGATTCAGAGCTCACGACTTTATGTTGTACAACCTTGGAGCTTTGATTTGCTGTGGGGAACCATGATTTGCTGTCAACCATGTCCCAAAACTGACATCAAGCTTCCTGTTGCTTTGCAGGGGGATGACTAGGGAAGTTTTTTCATCTCCTTTTGAGGAGGAGGGTAGCTCTCTGAGGCTTCTGGCTTTCTTCAGGGGTACCAGGTCTTTCCAAAAGTATCTGCTATACCCACATAGTGCATGAACCCCAGTGTCCCATTTGGGGGGCCTATACCCATCTCCCATTCCCCCATGAGCTGCTATGGTATCAGCTTCCATCCACAGCTCTGAGTCTGAGTTCCCACTTTGCTTCTAGAACCTGCACATTTCCTTGTATTTCTTTTGATATTGCTCATGCATTAAAATTTGTTGTTAAATGTTAGCAAGTTGGCTCCCTTCGACTCGAGTTCCTTCTGCCATACTGGAAATCCACTGGAAGGGCTCCTTCCTAGCTGACATAAGGCAGCTTCTATTTCTTTTTGTCTGCTTCCCTTAGCTTAGTCTTGACAATTCTGTCTTTACAGAAGAGGAAGTAAAGCTTTAGGTCATTACTCTAATTCTTGCCATCCCTGTGTGTCTAGCTTGGTTCCTTTTTCCAGCCTAAAAAATGATGCCCTCTAGAATTCTTTGATAGGCAGCTAGGAAATAATGAACCTCTGTCCTCTTCAAAGCTAATAATTTCCCTAAGGTAGTAAAATATATTTATAGACCAACCATTTTTAAGTGCTGAATACATCAGAAAGAATTTCATAGTCAGTTAGTTAAATAATGACCAGGATGTAGTAGAACATCGGGAAATAAATGGAGACTGTCACAAACTGCTCAAGAGATTTTTGGCAATTTATGGCTGGTATAAGAAGGAAGGGGGGTTTCTCCGGGGGATTATTTCTACTCTTGAAATCCTCTCATCTCTAAAACAGCTTCTGATCAGCAACAATGACTCTATAGAAGTGACCTAATTTTTCAAAGCTTTTATTTGTTTCCCCAGTTCTTAAGTTACTGTGTCACTAATCGTTCAAATGGTTACCAACAAAATAAGCCTGGATCCAGCCACATTTCCAGTTTTACCGCCTTCACTGCTTTTCTAAAGATACTCAATGATCCCAGTTGACTAGCTGGCTCCTCACCAGCCTTTATGGACACGTATATTCAGAAATGAGTTGGAAAAGCCTGCTAATGTGCCCATAGTGCCTGAGGACATTCCACACGCCCTTGTGGAATGGAAAGAGATGGGAAACAACCAAAGGTTTCCTGCTGGCGATTAAAGATCAAAAGACCACCACTTCAGCCCACCTGCTTGTTTGTCTTGGCGAAATTGATCCCAACACCCTGCATCATGGGCCCCGTGAAGCCCACCGGGCAGGCATCACATCTGAAGCCAGGAGCCAGGTTTACACAGCGCACGCCAGGGTAGCAGGGGTGGTATTTGCACTAGAGAGAAACAAAAATTTAGTCTGTAGCCACAGAGAGAACACACGCTCAAATGTCCATTCGTCTCTTTGCACAAACTTGTGGAATCACTTAACTATCCATTTTTTGGTGGCTGAAATGATCAAAGGCAATAAAGGCTTCCAATTTCATAGTGACTCACAGAATCTCTGACCCACATGGCCTGGAGGTTGCCTTGTTGCGAGCTTCACTATAGTATAGAATGAAGCACAGCTGAGTGGAAAGGGTCCTAATGTTAACCAGTCTACCTCCCAGGGCAAACTCCCTGATATTCTAACTTGGAATTTAAAAATGTCTGGGAGAGAAAAATGCGGACCACTTGTCAGGTGGGCATTGAGTCCAAACGCATTATTAAAGCAACTACTCAAAGAAAAAGACCTTGAGAAGATCAAGCCAGGGCAATTGTCATTTCTTCAGTAAGATGTGATTCATCAGGGGCTGTTCCTGACTTTGTACCCTATGAAGTCCATGGCTATTCCAAGGCTCTCAGTCTAGGAGATTCATTCTTCTGACTTTTTTTTTTTAAACCACTTCGACTAATGTAAAAAACATGACCACTTCCTGCCCTTTCAAAAGAAGGAAAATTCCAGTTCACAGATAAGATCCACATGCAGTTCTGTGAAACATGTGCAGATGCTCTTCCAAAGGAGGGATAACTAGAAATCATAATTGCTTACTACCTGGGGAGGTAATCGGCTACTACAAGTCTGTAGGATGCCTGTACATAAGCTAAGCTCCTTCCAGCCTTCCTCTGGCCCGAAAGTGTGAAAGTGTTAGTTGCTCAGTTGTGACCGACTCTTTGCAACCCCGTGGACTATAATCTGCCAGGCTCCTCTGTCCACGGGATTCTCCAGGCAAGAATACTGCAGTGGGTGGCCATTCCCTTGCCCAGGGGATCTTCCTGACCCAGTGATTGAATCCTGTGCATTGAATCCCCTGCACTGCCGGTAGATTCTTTACCATCTGAGCCACCAGGGAAGCCCTCCTCTGCCCTGATGAAAGGACAAAGGCACACGCTGGGTCAGCCTTGCCACAGGTTACGAACACTTCGTTGAGACTGGACCAGTGATTGGATAACTATAGTCCTGAAACAATCTCTGTCGGAGGCTTTGCCAGTTGGCCAAAACAGCCTGTATTTGCCGTATGTGTCTTTCTGGCTCTGTCTCTGGGCACTTTTGGTTACTCACAGATTATGGGGCCTCCTCAAAAGGTCTTGTTGGTTTGAGATTCCTCTCACTCCTCCATTGAGGAAGCCTGAAGAAATCAGTTGCAACCCCTAAAGTATATACCCTTACCCAGATGGTTCCCTTTCCACACTCACAAGCGTACAAAAAACATCACAGTAGTCCCAGAGACTGCTTTTAAGAATCAGCGGTAGGCATTGCAGCAACACGCACCATCGCGGGGGAGGTACAATGATGGGGGCCACAAGTGCAGGTCGCGTCTCCGCCTCCCCACCACCCACGGGTCTCTTTAGATTCCCGAGGGAGTCGTTTGTATGTGGCCCGGAGGACAACCCCAGTCAGCCCTCAGTCATGGACCCGGCTTCTCTTCGCGTAAGCCGTAGGAGGGATGCGATACGGAGGCTGTCGAGCTGAGTGCTTACCTCATCCACGTCGGAACAGGCGATCCCGTTTCCGGTGTAGCCCTCGGGGCAGGGTCCGCACTGAAAGCCGTCCCTGGTGTCTGTGCACCGCACGCCGCGGAAGCACGGGTTGGAGTCACAGCGGCGCACTGGGGGTGTCGGGGATGCCGCGGGCACCGCGGGCACCAGGGTGTTGGGGGTTGGAGACTGAAAGCTGAGCGGGCCTAGACAAAAACCATCATCGGCAGGTTTCTAAACCACCAGGAAAACAGAGCTGACACAGGATGTGGTTCAGCTTCCCGCTGACTTTCTTTTCCCTTGCCTCCAGCTCGGTGCCAAACCTCCACCAACCGCAGCCGGCGGAGCCTCACCCACCCAGACCCTTCAGCAGGCCGCATGGGCTTGTCCAGCTCAGAAGCATGCCAGTTACTAGAAAAGCACTTACCGCAAGCCTGGCATTCGGCTATGGTGTTTCGCAAAAATGATGTTTCCTTGACCTTTAGAAATGGGAAGGGGAAAAAAAAAAGATGGAAAAGGAGTACCTAATGTATAATCCAGGAATGAAAGAATCCACGAGTGGCAAACTATTAAACAGAACCTAAAGGAATGTTAACACGGCCCTGGGTGGCTCCCATTCTGCCTGGAGCCCTGGTGTGTTTATCACCCTGTGGCCCCCATTCTCAGAGCCCTCCCAGCAGAGCCCCAGGGCGGGAGGCTGCATGGGGCCACCTGAGGTCTGGCCCCAGGCCCTTCCCTGCCTCTGCAGGCCTGCAGCGCTATCAGCTCCAACAGAGAGCGTCTCTGTCAGAGGGCTTTTCTGATGGTCCATCCAGCTTGTTACCTGCTGTCTCAGAAGGTCCTTCACCTCTCCCAGTAGCTGGTTTAGCTGTGACATCTGCCCCAAGAACTGCCGATTAAAGTCTCCTATAGGAACACCAGAAGGAAAGGAGCTATTTCTATAGGGACTCAAAAACAAATTATTTCCCAGAGAATTATCATGATGAAAAGCTCAGGGTATGAGAATTTAACATGGGGTAACATTCACCTAATTCACCTAAAAAATAGTGATAATTATGCTGCTGCTCTAGTTAGTCCAAAATTCCTATAAGTTATACAAATACAAGTGCGATGAAGGTACCTCTTGCCCTGGACTTTGGCACAAAAGCCTGATTTCTGTAGACACACCCTGTAGGACTGCCCTGCTGACAGCCCACCCTTCGGGGACAGGACCCAGCCCATGACGGGCCTGGGGGTTTATTGATGGAGGTGAGCAAACGGCCGAGCACACACACCTGTGTTTGTGGTGGCCAGTGGCTCACTCTGCTGCAGGAAGCAGTCTTGCAGGCTGGCCACCTGGATCAGCGAGCCTCTCACCACCAGCTTCAGCTCTTCCAAAGAGTCCTGGAAGAAATTGGATTCATACCACACATTGCTGATGCCACTCAAAAGCCAGTGGGCATGCAGACTCACAATTTTCATAACACAGTAGGCCTGAATACTTGGACTCTGACATCTTACATAATTTTGTGGGTTTGCATTTTTTCCTGAAGCCCGCGAGCCCTGCCCTTCTGACTGAAGCAAATATGGAAGCAGCCAGCAGCTTAGGAGAGTGCTGGCATCCAGTGTGGTCTGAGAGTTCATCAAGGTGACTTGGAGAAAAGAAAAGGCCCTTTTCCTTCATGGTAAACAAGTTCTTTTGTGGTAGGAGCCTCTTAAGAATTGTGTGTTTATGGAGTTTAGATTGGAATGAGTAAGACATTGATCCCAATTTTAAACACTATTATTTTTAGGATGCCTTGGCTCCAGGTTTTAGCAAAGTCTCCAGTTTCCTTGGATTATGAGAAAGAATACATAGTATATTCTATGATGTACATTTTTGTACGTTTTCATGTATTTTCACATTACTGGATGATAGCAATCATTCATTGTTAGTCAAGTTAATTTTCTCACCCCTTAATTTTGTAGCTTTTACCTGTACCCATTATTTTATACACAGATGATATAGAAAACGTTTATGTTAACTGCTGATGTGAGGTCTTCATCCTTATTTTAGAAATGAGCATGCTGAGGATTTTCAGAGAGACTCTGCTTTTCAACTTAGTTAAGATGTATGCAACACGTTTTATGTAACAGATATTGTGTGGGAACCAGACCATAAATTCTATGGAGGCCATGACTATTTTGCCAACTATGGGATACCTAATGCCTAGAATGTGCATATTGACTGACTGACTGAGTAAATGAGAAGATGAATATGAACATAGAGCATTGTGGTCCTTGCTGACAATCAAAGGAAGTAGAGTCGGGGGGAGGGGAAACCCAAAAAATTCCATCTATTTCTGATGTCCTTGGCTTTTAGAAATTGACTTATTTGGTGGTGGATACTAATTTCTGAAATAGTGACATAATTTCTTACTGTCATTCTGACTATCTGGGATACTTTGGGGATTCAGAAATAAAATTTAGCATATCTCTTTTTTTTTTCTCTTTCCATAAATCTACACTAAATATATATATATATCTTTCTCTCACTCTCTAAATGCAGATTTCAGTCTTGAAATTTCTGCTTGAAAATGCTCTCTATATTTTAAGCACAAATTCTAGTATCTGATTCATAGTTTTTATATTATTATCTAAAGTTTCTCAGCATTCCTAGTTATAACTGAAATTGCTGTTTATAACCTGCTTCTTTGTACAAAGGGCTCAGAACACCTTGGTACTGGGTTGGCCAAAAAGCTCGTTCAGATTTTACCCATAACATTGTGGAGAAAAACCCAAATCAACTTTTTGGCCAACACTATACAAGTATATATAAATAAGTTAAAGCACATATAATAAAGTAATGAAACAGAAATGGAAAATTTTGATTGTGATAAATAAGACAACAACAATATGGGCCACAGTGGATGAACATGGTTATTGATTTTGGCACTGACTTCCATATCAGATGAAATTCAGGAACTGTGACCAATTATAGTAATTATTGGAAAAGACAAAGAATACTAATTATTTATAGGAAATGGAGTATTTCCTCCATTTCCTATAAATAATAAAATTATATTTTTTTAACAAAATTATAGAAGGAATATATGTGGCAATTTCTATAGCAGGTGCAAGGACATAATGGAAAAAATACCACCAACTAAAACAGAAGACAGAAGTGATGTGATATGTAAGGCCTCGTGGAAGTAAGTTGGCAATAAGGTTCTTTTTGTTAGAGATGCTCTAGTAAGACCTATGGAAAATGTTGTTCCTGGTGTTTGGCAAGTTCCAATCATTCTTTCTTACTTCTATTAAAAAATTATACTTTTATGAAAGATTAAAAATAGATCATCTTACAGCCCTAAGATAGTTTTAAAAGTTTTTGCTATTCCCTTTCTACTTTATAATTCTATGCCCAAAGTCTCCACTTATCTAAAGGAGTAGTAGCTCTCAATTTTGACTTCACATTAGAATCAGTATTTGTAAAAGGACTGATGCCGAGGCATCACCTCCATAGACGGATTTGTCTGGAGTGTGATCCATCTAGCAGTTGGTTTTTACGTGCAATAAGTGGTTCTAATATGCAGTCAGAATTAGACCCATTCTTGACCTCAGCCCACTCTTCTGCATTCTCAGAAACCATCCTTCCACTTTGGAGAATGGTCTGTGGGTTCTTACGTGTGCCTTCCTCTGGAAAGTCCTCAGTTCCACAGCCTCGGGACTCTGGGCGAGGCCGGAGAAGGCTCTGGGGAGGTTGTGGATGGAGTCCACTCGGGTACAGTCCAGGAACAGCTCCACAGAGCCGGCACCCCGGTGCAGGTTGGTCAGTCTCAGCAGCAGCCTGTGCCTCCTGCCGTCAGCCAGCTGCAGGTTGTTGAAAACCACCAAGTGAATCCTCCCGTCGTTCTTCAGGTAACGGAGGACGGCTGGAACCAAGCACCGACCAGTGAATGATGAGAGAAGTGAAGGGGGGTGGCTCTGTGCCGAACAGCCTCCAGGTGACAATGACGAGGCCAGGTCATCGGAAAGATGCACGCAAGTCAGAACCATAAATGTTCAACCTTTTGTGTGCACTGGCCACCCACTGTTGCTGGGGATGTTTCGTGCTCATGAAAAGAGATGGTAAGTAGTAAATTTGAAAACAAACAATATAATTTCAGATAATGATGAATACACTGAACAAGCAGAACACAGTGAAAGTCAATTAACATCCAAGTAAGCTCCTGAGGGCATGAATTCATTAATTCTCCAACACTTCCTGAGCACTACTATGGGGATGGGTGCTGCCCTTCGTTGTTTTAAACATTTATATTCTATTCATTGCAACCCTATGAAACTGGAATTAACTACAGGTGAGGAAAGTGAAGCTCAGATAAGTGAAGTAACTTGCTCAAGGATATAGGAAGTGACAGAACTAGAATTTAAAGCCGAGTGTGGTTTATTCCATGGCTAAAGAATGCTAGGCCTGGATGGGGTTTTGTAAGGATATGTTGAATCAGGTGTAATCTGTTGTATTATCCCTCAGTAAAGCCTATTTTCAAATTTTAACAATGCTCAGTTAGAAAACCAAAGGTATCCATGGATGCAAAAGAAAGACTCCATGGGAGATCCACTACCTTACATAAAAAGATATTCTCAGTATCATGTTGAGTGAAAAAAAGTTACGGGTCAGTATAGGTTCACTCCAAAAAAACCTATGTATGCATGTACATACAGTATACACACAGATACAGAAAATTAGAAAATATTTGTATGGTCATTTCTGGGTGCTTGGTGATATGTGTTTCTTTTTTCTTCATTTTCATTGTCTGATTTTTCTATACAAGAAACTTATGTATTACTTATATGATACCAAAAAAGTTAAAAAAAAAAGAATCCTACATGTAAACCCAGAGTGTGCTACAATCAATCTGTATGATTCACAGCAAGCAAGTGGGACCATCTCTCTTCGGGCGCCTCTTCTGTGAGGTGTAAATGCCAACTTGGTGCTGCCCAGGCAGGAATACCTGTTTACGTTGCGGAATTGCCAGAGAAAACAATCACCACTATGAAATTTAAGGGTGTTTTTGAAGACTTCCTCCAAATGCACTCGACTTTCTAGGTTGATTTCCCCACCCTCCTACAATCTGACTAGACTTGCTTTTCCATTTGACCATGGCTGGAGTGGGGCCGGTTGGCATCTGGGCCCGTGGTATAGAGAGAAGCCAGGAGGCGTCAGGAGATCTTCCCTCGCGCCCATGGGACCACCACCACTTGCTTACTGAGAAAGAAGAGCTGGTGAGACCCCGCAGGACAGACTGCCTGGAAGGCCCTTCTATGACTATAGAACAACACTATGCTTCTGAAGCAAAGGATTGGTAAGACTGAAATGTGGAATGAGGAGGAAGAAAATGATGTGGGTAGACATTCTTGAGGTATTTTAAATATGGGATACAACAGTACTTTTACCCCTTTTTAAATATTGTTGAGAATTTATAATAGTAACAGCATGGCTTGAAATTTGAGGCATAAAGTACACAAAAGAGGGGGTAAATTGAGCCCAAACATATGCACTAACTCAATATTTTAAAACCTCCACTCCTTTACTTTTGAAATAGTTTTGTAAATCCCCAGCATTTTTACAGGCCAATGAAAACACCACTCAGACCACCAGATCTCAACCCGGTTACAAACACATGCATACTCAGGATCTCCTTATTTTCCTTTTGGCCACAACCTCTGTTCCTCATATTAATGGTTTAAGAGGATACGTAAAGTAGCTTAAAACAAATACTCGTGGTTTTTCTCCCCCAGCTGAGATTTCTGGTGGAATTCAAAGGAGACATATTTTAGCGGACCTCTTCCCTGTTTTTAGCAGGCCTTCCAGGCCATGTGGTTCATGATTTATTTTCATAACTGAATTGCTAAGTTTAATTTTACAAATACTACCTAGTGGAGTAATTTCCGCCTAACAGGTGCACATCAAATGTTGTGAATATGAACTTTCAATGAATAATTAGATGACTGCATTGAAAGCTTTTCACATATAAATCGAAAAGTTTAGAGTGGCAATTTAACATCTACTGCAGACAGCGAAACCTTCTATTGTGTTCACGCTGTCTTTTAAGGGCATTCCACACTTCTGCCTTGCTTGGTGTTGCAGTGCAACGCTGAATTAGGTTCCTCCTGCTCCCAGATCTTGCAGCAAGAGCAAGAGGGGGAAAAAAAAAGGAAAAGAATTATGGAAACTACCCTCTTCGCAAGGTCTGTTAGCAGAAAAATTATCAAGTGCTTCGACATTTACTATTCTTCACACTTGATCCAATAATTCTCATTTTGCTTATGGCTTTCATTTTTCTTTTTTATTGCAAGTTCCTTACTTCAGTGCTTCTGTACTTATTTTAGCTTCAGAGCAGTAACATTTCCCAGAGGGTCGACAGGCACCTGCTCAAAAAACACATGTCCCCCCAGTCATACTGAGGCTAGAGACAGACTCAGCAAGCCAGGAGGCCGCAGCCAGGGACCGAGCTGCTTCAGCAGCAGCACCACCAGGAGGGAGAGAGATTTCGCTCTCCATCCCATCTTTGCTCTCCATCCCCTCCATACATACACACACAGGGGAACAATGCAGAGGGGAGAACACCAGTCGCCCAGCAGGACATCACTTTGCCTCCAGAAGGAATGCAGTCAGGCCCAGGGAGCTGGGAGGAGCAGTCTTCCTTCGCTGCATCTCACTCCTGCCCCTCGGCACCCCAGGGAGCACTGCACTCAGGAAAGCACCCGTCACTGGGGACAGCTCTGCTTCTTCAGCTGAGGCACATTCCGTTCTGCTTGTTTCTCACGGAAACAAGTTAGCCTGGTGATTCCAACCTGCTTCTCTCTCAGGGTGAGCACCAAGAACCCGTCTGATTAGATCCAAAGGCTGTGGGTCTTCAAACACGTTGCTGTCTCTACGCTGTTCCATCTCTGGGTTTCTCTGCCAGATTCCTGACTCATCTTCCTGCTCAGGGTCTTTTCCTGTGCAGTTTTTCTGGACGGACAGCTTGAGATGCCTACACGACTGTTCTGATCAAATGACTACCTTCTCAGTGCAACACACAAGCAAGCCAATGGAATCCTTCGCCAGCTCCCGAGTGGTTCCCAATTAACGTGTAACTTATCCCAGGACTGGCCTAACCTTCTAGCCACCTTCCATTCTGCTGATGACTGCCAAGCTGAACAACCTGTTTTAACAACCTGTTTTCACGCCTCTCTAGCTTTCTTCAGCCTCTCTCATCCTTTTCTTTCTGCGCAGAATGTTCTCTGCTCCCTCCCTCTCCTTCCTGCTCCATCACTGCTGAAAGCCAGGATCCAGCTCAAATGCACCTGACTCCCTCTAGTCGTCCATCTTCCTTATGACTGGAAGTTATCTGCCTCATCATATTCCCTTAGCACTTTCTCGGTGCTTTGATAGGTGTACTTTTCCAGCCAAAACTCAGAGACTTCAATCCCTGTGTCACCCTGAGCCCAGTTTTTAAACTATTAAAAGGATTTAATAAAAGCTGTCCTTCCTGCTTCATTTTCTGTTCAGTGGTGGTCAAATAAGAAAATGCAAAACTATAAGCTGCTATACACATGTAGGTACTAGTATATTTGCTTATTTCTTATCTTCTCTACTAGAGCATAAACTCTTGGGACAAGGAGTCTATTTCTTACTAATTTTCCCATACACCACAGCATCTGAGAACACCAAATACAACTGTTTGTTGAATGAAAAATAGATAAAATATAGTATTCTTATGTTTACTCTTTTTAAAATCCACAGTCTTTAAAAAACAAGAGCAGTTTCTATTGGTTTACTTATATAAATCCTTCCCTTCTAAACTTAGCATCTTTGCGTACTTGAAAATCTGGAGCCTGATTTTATGACTACATTTCCATGTCCAGGTACTAGCCTGACAGAGGAACCACGTAACCTCGCCTGATTAAATGCCATCGCAGTGACTGGAAGGAGATGAACCCAAGCAATGATTTGAAATATTGCTATCATCTTGAGAAAGAATTTTCAAAAGGTGCTTTTTGAAAAGCGGATGGACATGGTAGTCAAAAATATTATGATGTGTTGAATGTCAAAGCTATGAAGTAGGCTGCCAGCTTTAAATAACTGGAAATGATAATATTTTGCCTGCTTGGGCTAAGGAGTTCAGAGTGACGTGGCCTGCTGGGGCAGCGAACTCGGCAAGGTAGTCCAGGGCTTTCTGCTTTGCTTGGCAAATGGCTTTGCTCTTTGGCACTTTTAAAGATATGATGAAAGCCGCTGCTGTCAACCTTTCCTCTTCTTAAATAATTGTATATTAAAAGAGCCTTCTTGCCATTAACGTCTCTTGTGATGGATGTTCTTGTTTGCCTTGACTCATTTGTCTTTATGCCCTATACACTGGATCTTTGTAACTTTAGTGCTTTGGAAATACACATAAAAGGGAAACCATCAAATTGCTTTTCCTGAAAGTACTGTGGGTGACTCGCAGGTGTGATAAATGCAGTATGTGTGTTTGGAAATTCTTTTCATAGCAGTTTCAACCAATGTAAAGTTTACAGAATACACACGGAGCAAAGAAACCATCCAGTGAAAGGAAGCACAGCAAATATAATGAACTTCTGCAGGGGGCTCTATGCGTGGATAAGTCACGAGGCATCACTATACAACTGCCTGGTGGGGAGACAGTTGTAAGTGTGCACAGAATCCCGAGGTCACCTTAGAGAAGACAGTTGTAAGTGTGCACAGAATCCCGAGGTCACCTTAGAGAAGACAGTTGTAAGTGTGCACAGAATCCCGAGGTCACCTTAGAGAAGACAGTTGTAAGTGTGCACAGAATCCCGAGGTCACCGTAGAGGAGAAAATTACAAAGCAACTTTGATGCCCATGGAACTCTCTCTAGCCTTAGCAGAGCCACAGAATATTAGCATT